CCAAAACAAGTCCTCTTTTTGTGCGAAAAGGTTGTGAAGTCACGAAACTAGCCCGTCAATGTTCGAGCGAATTTCAACTCTTTCAGACCAAAATTCTTGCCAGGCTTTAGGACAATTGCGAAGTCACGAAACTGACCGGTCAATGTTGTTCAGACCTGTCTTTTGTGGTGCGAAACGACCGTGTGAGTTATCAGCCTTCACAACCCAAACCCTGAACCTGAAGCTCTAGTCGGTCTTATCAAGCTGTCTTCTTGGACACATTCGCGACCCTAAACCCTATCTAGTCTGAGCCGATCTCCAGAATTCATGGCCACCTGTGTATGCTGTCACGTGCAAACCCATGTAAACCCATGTAAACCCATGTAAACCCATGTAAACCCATGTCAACCCATGTAACCCATGTAAACCCATGTAAACCCATGTAAACCCATGTAAACCCATGTAAACCCATGCAAACCCATGTCAACTCATGTAAATGGCCCCAAAGGCCGTAAACCCTAGACCCTAAACCCCAAACCTAAAACCCCAGACCCCAAACCCTAAACCCTAAACCCTAAACCCCAAACCTTAAACCCGAATCCCAAGTCGTCCGAGTGCAGCTGAAGGCTCAAGTCGCTCCGACAAGTTTCTCGCGCCTGAAGGGCCAGAGCATACCATGGCTTTTGAGTCCCCAAGATATGGCGTATCAAGCAGAAATCGCAAAACTTGAAGTCCTGAGCCTCTGGCTGTCATTTTCGGCCCTCCGACTTGGGGAGCGCGCGCCGATGGCAGGCGTTTTGACTCGAGGGCTCGTTTTCGGGGTGGCGTTCAGGTTTAGCCTTTGCGGGCGAATAGGGTTGCAGGTCGGGGAGATGTGGGTTTAGGGTTCGTTACTTTAGAAAATCACAGGTCATTGAGTGGACCATCATGTAGAGAGATGACCATCTGATGTTGTTGCTGTGCATCTAGCAAAAACCCCTGTTAGCAGTGTCCACGGCCCTTGAAGTACAAAGTCCACGGGCTTCTGTTCTGAAGAGGACCCTGAAACTGGCCACTTCTGCTGTCTTAGGTCTCAGTCTTGCTTCTGTCGGTGCCCTCTTTGCCCCAAGGGCCAGGCTTGGTGCCCGAACACCCAGAATCCAAACCCCCTCCGAAGCCTTTAAAGTTTAAAATACTTGGTCAGTTCTCAGAATTGCAAAATCGAAGAGGCCCCAACTTTAACAGGGACGATCAAATGGGAGAGCGCCGACCTTATCACAGTAGTCCCCCCCTTAAATGCCCTGAAGCCCAAGGCCCTTGAACCCGCACAAAGCCCCCCCCCGAGCCGCTCGAACACGGGTTTAGTGATATAAACACCCAAAAACTCGACATCAGAGAATACCGGACCCGGACCGCTTTTACCCGGAGAGGCTTGTTGAGAGTGGCCACGCCTGCCCAGGCAAGGGTCTTTTTTTGCTCTCATGACTTGGTGCCAGAGCTTCCCTTTATGTTCAGGCTTCAGGGTTCGGCTTTTTTGGATTGTTAAAAATCACTTTACGTCTCTCTAAGTACGTCAACCCAACAATGACAATTCAAGTCATCCTTTCAAGACATGTCCCAACAAATGGTCAATTATAGGGCCTTAACGATCCTAGATTGGGATGTTCCCCCCTCATACAAACAGTCCTTAATAGGGATTCCAGTACGTGCTACTAAAATCCCGATTAAGGACTGTTAGTATAAGGGGGAACATCCCAAACCCTAGAAGTACAGTCTCGGGGTTTTTGGGATGAACTTCTCCGGAAGATGGCGGAGTGCGAGTTTGGATGCATTCCCTGCACCGGGGCTTCCTAGTCGGATCCACAACCCAAAACCCGAGAATCCCCAAAGCAGGTCTGTGTAGCATAAGCATTGGGTTAAAGGTTTCGGGTTTAAGGTTCAGGGTTCCGGGTAGTTTAGGGTTTAGGGTTAGTGGCTCCGGGTTGAGGGTTTAGGGTTTAGGGCTTACATGAAGGTTCATGGGTAGGTATAGGTAGGGTTGTAAGTCTGGCAGCCTACATTGGAACCGGGTTAGAACCGTACGTAAGGTACTTCTCACCCTACCTGTTCCCCCAAAACTGGACCCCGAATATGAACCCCCCCACCCCTTAACATTAAATTTTGCCCATGTGTAGTCTATCATTTTTCGTTGTGTAAGATTATTTTTTTCAGGATTGGCCCCTAATATTAAATACTCCTCCATTGTAGCATATGATAGCTTTGGTTCCCTCTGCTTGTTCTTTGATAGCTTTGGTTCCCTCTGCTTATTCTATTTAAAATTGGGTTAAAGGTGAGTAGAGCCCTATGGCATTTGTCTTCTTTCATGCACATGGTTTGCTGAAGTTAAGTCACACACACACATATCCCCGCACCTGAGCCCTTATGAAACTTGGAACGCTAAACCCGAAACCCCAAGTTCCCCAGAAATCCTAAACGCATGGGGCGCATCAGGTTCTTGCGGGCCTTGGCTCGGTGTTCCTCAACGACCCTGTTGGAGCGTCTGTGGGGGAGGCCTTTCAGGAGGTCGACGAGGTGCTTCGATCCGAAACCTCCCCGTAGCTCCCAACGTAAGAAGCAGCCCTGGGTTTGTAGGGTTCAGGGTTGATGGAGTCGGTGCGCCGCGCAAGACCTGTGGGTCAAGGGGCTCGTCTACAGCGCCTTGCGCCTAAACTCCTGAATCCTAAGTCCTAAGCCCTAGACCGTGAACCTGGCGCGCCACATTCCTGTCCTGTTTGCCGTGTTTATCTGGGGAACCGGTCTGCAACCCTCCTGAACCAGGTCAAGGGACACAGCCTCCGGTGGATATCCCCCCAAAATAGCTCCTGCGACTGCCAGTATACTGCCAGTGCCCCGTGTACGGGTCAGTCCTTCAGTTGGGGGTTGACGAAAATAGGGGATCCCTAATGTAAGCCCCAAATGTTCGGATTCCCACATAATCAGGACCCCATAAGGTACCCCCTATTTTCGGAACCCCCCCCCCCTTCGACCATGAATCCAAGCCGACTCCACACTATGCCTCGCAGAATTTGGGCTTGAGTGTTTAGGACAGTGGGACTTTTCGGGGGCTGGACCGAGGGGCTTAGGGCTTAGGGCTGGAGTTGAAGGGGTCGGGCTTTCGTGCTTCGGGCGGGGCTGGGACTTGGATTTTGTCTGGGGCTTGAGGCTTCAGGATTTGGGGAGGTTATGGGGTTTGGAGCAATCTCGGCTACTTTTGGACACTTGCAGCACAAGGGGAAAACGTCATGTTCACAATATTTGGACAAACAAAAAAGCAAAAATTAACAAAATGGTAGAAACCCATGTTCTCTGCAGTTTCTTTCTGGTGCGGATCGTGCGTGGTGACCCCCTATGCCACAGTTTAGGCACCCTAAACCCTAACCCCAAAATCCCAAAGCCCAAGCCCCAAACCCCAAACCCCAAACCCGAAACCCTAAACCCTAAGCCCTAAACCCTAAACCCCTCACCCCAAACCCCAAACCCTAGCCCAAAAAAGCCATCAGGTGGATTTGTTCATCAGCCACTCGTGGGGTGCAGGCTCGGCCTTTACTTGGGGTCTTCAAGCACAAGAGACCCTTGGGGTTCAGGGTGGCTAGGGTCTGGTATAGGGGGCCTTCACAATTAGAATAGGGTTTGGGGGTTATGATACTATTCATGATAAAAGGGGCCAGAAGGCTACACGGAAAAAATGACTCGGAGTTATTCCGACCCCGATATTAGGGTCTGTGGTCTCTAAGGCTTGTTGGGTGTAGGGAGTGAAGTTCGCAGGGGCGTTCAGGATTTCCGCCTTTGGGTTAGAGTTCGACCCGGATAGAAAATAACCCACTTCCCATGAAGGGTTCCTCCTTAGTGCTGTTGGGTTCATATCCAGCAGTGTTTGGAGTTAAGGCTGGGGCCCCAAAACCATCAACCCTGAACCCCAGGCCTCCTTGTCTGGATAGCCCAAAGGCGCCCCAAGCCCCAAGCGCCCCAAGCCCTGCCACTCAAAAGCGGAAGGCATCCAAAGCCCATGAAGCAGCCAAGCAAGCGCTCGGACTCCTGAATCGTGAATCCTTTCCGGGTTGTGGGAAACCCCCGAACCAGCACCGGCAGGGCGATGGCAAAAGACCCTCGCCCTGTGCTACCACCTGAACCTGCGCGTTGCCACTTGCGCTTCCTGGCGGGGTTTGGGTTTAGGCAGTTTGGGCCCTAAACCCTCACCTCCACGACCCTTAAACTTTAGTGAACAGGGCTGAGAGTTTGGGGTTCAGTCTTCAGAGCTTTGGCCTGTCGGGTTATTCGTGTTTCACGTCCTACCCTGGTTGAGGTTGTCCTCAGCCACACAGCACTGACCGAGGGTCGTGCGGGGAAGAGGCCCAAGAGGCCCCACGAATTTGGTGTCGGGTTCAGGGAAGGCACAAGACAGGGCGTGCGGAGGCATCAACCCAAAACTCTGGATCATAAACCTTGACCCAAACCCTAAAGCCTGACCCCTAAACCCTAAAGCCGAAACCCTAAACCCGATACCCTAAGTTTAGAGTTTTGGGGGTTCTTCGAGACCTAAGTGAGGCGTGCGTCGCCACGTGGATCCTCGCTGCGCTGGGCCTGGTGGTCGCCTCTGGCGGAAGCACGTCTCGACTCGCAGGAGAGGGGTGGGTTTGAAGCCAGGGTTTCGGGCACTTTGAAGTTTTTGGGGTAGGTTTGGAGGTGGGGTTTAGGGCACTTTGTGAAGTTTTCGGGTAGGTTTGAAGGCGGGGTTTAGCGTACTTGGGTTTGTAGGCTTCGGCATCCACCCATGAGCATGGTCTCTGAATGTTGTCAATTTGTCACCAAAGCAGGCTGGGTTTTTTTTTTGGCAGCCGCATAGAGGGCACCATGAGGTGCGCATGGTGCGCATGGTGCGCTCAGACCGATACTGATCTTGAGGGCCACAGAGTGCCTCGGAACGTCTCATAACCCACCCTTTTCCCACGCCAGGCAATCCACTGGTCACGCCGCTGGTGTATCCACTCACCGTGGACTTGCCCATGGCAGTCTTTTTTGTGCTGTTCCTGTTTGGTCACACCGTGAGCTGCGGACACCGAAAGCTTTGGCTGGACAAGCTCTGCATCCCACAATCCGACGAGTCTGTCAAGGAGATGTTTGTTCGTTCGCTGCCCGACTTTGTGCGCCGCTCTTCTCACATGGTGGTGCTTTGGGACGAAAGCCACTTGGCTACCCTTTGGCTCGTTTATAAAAGCGGGCCGCGGGGTGGCAGAGTGTCCCCCCAGAAGTTCTTTCATCCTTAGGGGGGTCGCCCAGACAAGGCCCGTAAGCTATGGAAGCCCCCCCCAACTCCCGATCTTCGGGGCCTCTGGCTCTCGTCGTTTTTCGTCAACAACGACAAAGTTGAGGCTACTTCGAGCGTTTATGGTGCAACTTAGAGTTTGCGATGTTCATCAAGACTCGCGTTGACGACAGTAGCCGTGCTCTGGCGGTTGTGCCTGTGTGGCTGCCCCCGTGGTTGCTGCTGACGATGCTGCTTGACTGGGTCAGCGTGCGCTTCTTGGTGCTCCCGGTGCCTAAGCCGAATCTGCTGCAGGCTTCGGGGGTCTTTGTTGAGACATTGCTAATTCCTAGATTCGCAGATTTGCAGGTGTGCCCCCGAAAAATGTCTGGGAATCAAGGTCGAGACATTGGCGCAAAGCCTGCCGGGGTATCAAGCATTGGGGGCGCCATCATCTCACTTTGACAGCTTCATGCAGTCCGTCTGCTATAACTGGGCCAATGCCGTCGCGTACCTGCCTGCAGCACTGGCCACGGCGATATCCTTCAGGTTTAAGCTGGCGCAGCATGGTTTCATGTTGGACCAGCTGGCTGACTTCGACGTACGAGCCGCGAAATGTAGCGTCCATGCCGACAGGGCGATGTTAGAGTCGGAGATTGCTGAGCTCTACGATGAGATCGGTTCTTTGCCCGAAACTGTTGTGCTTGCTTCGTCTTCGGTTTACATGGACTCGCGGGAAGTACAGCAAGAGCGGGAGCGATTGCTGGAGGAAGCAGTAGTGCTCAGGAGACCAACCTGAAGCCAAATGTACCCTAGCCTTAACCTTAAAAACTCCAAACACCACACTGCCACACGAGACCGCAGCACTCTAAGCCTGCCAAGCCCGAACCCACGGTTCCTGAGCCGTCAGACCCTTGAGCACTCAAGCTCTAACGTTCTATGTTTAGCAGCCATGATAACTTTACCTACAAACCCACTTCTGAAAGTGAGTCAGAAGCAGCCCGAACTCTCACCCACTACAGGAGCCCGCAGGTTCGGCCCCTCACCAGCTTTCCAAGCCACGCCGAGTGCCTCGAGCTCTTCAATGCAGACGTCCGTGGCCCGCTGCGCACAGCTATTCTGGCCCACTCGGGAGGTGCCACAGACCTACCCCTGGGGGTTTGCATGCTGGCTTCCTTGCCCTTGTGGCTCTTCCTGCTCTCCTGCTCTTTCTTGCTGTGCGATGGCTTCGGCACGTGTGACGACGCCCTGGAGTACGAGGGCTACCCGTCTTTCCTCGCGCTCTATGCAGCCGACTGTGGATACATCTTCTTCTACGCCATTTCCGTTTCGACCATTTTCCCATGCCTGCTGAGGACCGGCAGAGCCCCCGTGTTTCCCAGCTCAAGCCCTGAGTTCTACACGACCCCGACCTGAAGGGTCCTGGATTCAGTCTTGCAGCTTGGGAAGTCGATGCCCTAGTAGCGCCTAAACCCGAAACCGCTGAGGCCTTCTGTGAAGCTCCAAAAAAGGCCGCGCTGGAGTCTTGAGTGTCCTACCTCTTCCGCCCCTCAACCCTCCCTTCCGCGAGGATCCTAAATTGGGGCCTTTCGATGGCAACTTGCTGGGCGCTGCGTGCTGTCGTCGCTAGGTCATTGTTGAGAATCATTTCGCATTTCTGGATACTTAGAAAGCCCAAAAGCCCTTAAATAAGGCATGTGCCTTAAAGGATCCTACTCGGGTTTAAGGTGCATTCCTTTTTCAAGGGTTTTTGGGTTTCTAGAATAAAAAAACTGATCAGTTGCTAAAAAGGTCCCAACAAAGGTCACCTTCCTTGGGGCCCTGCTGACGTACGTCTACATCTTTACCTTGCTAGGAGCGGCTTAGGGTGTTTTAGGGGTCTGCAGACCCGTGGATTTCGAAAGTAGAGCAGTAGGCCCTCTCTAAACCCTGCAACCCTCAAAGTCGGGAGTGCGCTTCATGCGGGGGTGGGCTGCTTGATTTTTGATCGCCCTTTTTGGGCGGGCGCTGGTAATGGGAGAGCCCAGGTGTTTTGGGGTTTTGTGAGGCACATGTGAATTTCGGATGTACATCTCTAAACCCTAAACCCTAAACCCTAAACCCTAAACCCTAAACCCTCCTAAACCGTAAACCCTCCTAAGCCCTAAGCCCTACGCCTTAAAGCCCCACGCAGAAGGTACCGTGGGCGGTGCTGGGTCCAGGGAATCCAGGGGCTTCGGAAGGTTAGGATTATCCAATGGCCCAAAATTGGTGATTTAGGGTGTAGGGTTTATGGTTTAGGAGGTTTAGGGGGTTTAGGGTTGAGAGTTTAGGGTTTAGGATTTAGGGTGTTAGGGTGTGGGGTTCTGGGCCCTAGGGTGTAGGCATGGGGGCTCAGGGCCTGAGGGTGTAGGCGTGGGGCTTGGTGCTTCAGCGTTTGAGCGCTTTTCGGTTGCAGGGTTTATTTATATAATAATAACTATCTTTATGTGTTTTTTTTTCTGCTTCTTTTTCTGGTGGCAGGAGCAACCAATGGCTGTGTGATGGCCCTTGTGGTGAAAGGGCCCACCTTCAGCTGGCTCCTGCTCTTGAGCTTTTTCTCTGCGGTGTCTGTGGGCCAGTGGCTCATGTTCTTCTTTCCGGACCGAAGGTCCTTGCCAACCCTTGCCCAATCTTCCAGGTGCTTGACATGCTTCGGCAGGTGACGCTGGCATGCTAGAAGGCGGCAGGGGTGCTTGCTGCTTGAAAGCTTGAAGCCCTCCGACTACCCAACGGGCGCGGATTCTCTGTCTGCAATCGCAGATTGAAAACGCAATCCGAGGCGCTTTCTGCGCGTGCAGTGGTTCTCAGCCGGAGGGTTAGTAGTTTGTGGGATTGAAGATTGCGGAATCAATGTCTTTATGATCGTTCAGAGAATCCTAAACCCTAAACCAGATCTTTTCGGAGTTTGAGATCTTGGGGTTTGAGGGTGAGGGAGATCTGAATCGGGCTGAGTACTTGAGTTTGGGGTGTGTAGGGTGTAGGTTTTACTTAGGGTAGGAATTCTGTTCCGGGTATCTTCCTTCGCAATCTCAGAAAGAAATGGATACTTACTCATGCTCTTTTGTTTCGCAGGAATCGTGGGTCTTCTCCTGAAGTTTTCAGGTTACGTATCGCCCGGAGCCGTTTAAGCCCCAGAGACGCAGTGCATCAGAATCACAGCCCAGGCGCGGGGGGGCGAGGGCGGGTCCCGAACCTCATGTCGAAGCAGGGTTTATATTACGGTGAGTGTATAATACTTGGTGTCCTTTTGCGGATACAAGTCAGCTCAGCCAAACTTGTTTGTTTGCTGTCGAACTTGTGGCGAGTTGCGCCCGGCCGTGCTTTCCATGCACTTCGGTGGCAATGTAAGATGTAAGTGTGAAGGTTGAAGAGAATCGTCTTGAAATCACTGGGTCAGCTGCACAACTGTTTGAAGTTCTCTTCATTTGCTTTCTCCGATCTTTCCTGCCGGCCCGTCTGAACTCTTTGAAAAGAGGTGCGCTCCCCGCACCCCCACCCCCCCTCCCTCCCCCTCGAGACCGAAGCGAGAGAGTCTAATGGAGGAGGGGCCGGATCCCTTTTGGGGTTCTCTCTGTTCGAAAGCTCAAAAAAGGAGCGGGGTACTCTTTGAGGGTTCTGCTGGGAAGGGATCAGAACAGGGCAATCAGGGGGTCCTTCAGAACACCTCTGACGTCTCACTAAGGACACAGAATGTATTGTATAATGGTCTCCTTATGACGGTAGCTACGTTTAGGTTACCCAGCCGGAACCCAGATTGCGTTCATCGTGTCTGGAGACTCCCCTGAAGCTTGAACCCTGAACCCTGAACCCTAAACCCTAAACCCTAAACCCTAAACCCTAAACCCTAAACCCTAATCCCTAAACCCTAAACCCTAAACCCTAAAAACCCTTAACCGTCAAGCCGACATAGCCGACCTAGGAGTTCAAAGGCAGCGAGGAGTGAGGGCTTTCGATCTGAGGGCTTCCTTGTTGCAAACACAGCCGGATTCACAAAGAGAGTGCGAGCACGGTGAACCGCCAAGTAGCCCCTTCTCAGCAGATAGGTATCCCGGAAATTGTGGGGTGGGGGTGCTGGCTCATGAGCTCAGAACCTGAAGAGAGAAGAGTTTCAGAAGATCTCAGAAGAATCTCAGAAGGAGCCCAGACCTCCAACCTCAGTTTCTTCGTTTTTGTTGGACATCGTGCGTTTGTAAGCTTAAACTTTCGCTGTATGGGCTGGTGCTGCCATTGGTGCCGTGTGCCCCTCAAGTGAGATGCGCTTCGCCACATGTTCCAACAAACTCTTCCAGTTGTCAGTAGTCCGCAGTCATTAAAAAAAGGGGTCGGAATAATCAATAGTATTTGTTTATGGTCCCTTTATACTCAGACGATAATAACCACCAAAACATTATTTCAATGACTAAGGCCCCTTTTGTACAGGAGCTTTAGCGCCCAAGCGCCACCTGTGCTTGTCCGTGCCATGGTGGCTGTCGACGCGGCACGTGGGTTTGCCAGCCCGCGCAGCAAAGGCGCGTCGCAGGGAGTAGCCTCCCAGAGCTCCTTGCGCAGCCCGGGTTTAGGGTTTATGGGTTTAGGGTTTATGGGTTTAGGGTTAAGGGTTTATGCTTTCGGGATCCGTAACCTCAAAAAAAAGAGGTGACGGGGTGCAGAATACAGGTGTTTGGGTGGTAGGTGCGGCGCCGTTGCTTGGCGGAGGAGGTGGATCCCTCCCTCAAGCCCCTCAAACCTTCACCCTCTGCCCTTCAAGCTCTCGAAACCTGAGCCCTTTAAACCCACAGCCGGCAAAATTTCCCCACCCACCCCCACCCACCCCCCACCAGTCGCAGGCAAGCGAGACATGCGGGCTGAGTTGGCAGCATGGCAGGCGCAAGTGCCTTGAGGTTATACAGTGTTGATAGGGTTTTTGCAGGGCTTGAGGGCGAAAAGGCAGGGTTCAAGAGGGGGTTTGTAAGGTTTTGCTGGGTGTCATCAGCCTAACGCCCTGCAGGCCTAGAAAAAACTGGTACGAACCAAAAAGGATTATCATCGAAAACTATGGCATTTATGCATGACTGATGAACCCTCTTGTGAACTACGTTTGGGTGTTTACGAAAATAGGGGACCCCTGATATAGACCCCCAAATGGTAGGATCCCGTTATAATAAGGCACCCCTAATCTCGTAAACCCCGTATGGAGCTCAACAAGGAGAAGTTCCAGAGAGCGGGTATAAGGGGCCCAATAGGGTACCTCTTAAACCCTAAACCCTAAACCCTAAACCCTAAACCCTAAACCCTAAACCCTAAACCCCAATAAGGGCACCCCCTAATATCGTAAAACCCCCCATCCCCATGTGTCGGAGGCGGCTCAGCGGTTTCATCACCGCGAGGCACGTGGCTCTGCTGGTTTGGGGCTTCTGGGTTTCTTGGAGCTTCCTGCTATTATTTTTAGTTTTAGGTTTCAGGGTTTGGGGTTTAGGGTTTAGGGTTGAGGGGTTTGCAGGGTTTCGGGTTTATAGATTTATGGTTTTGGGGATGTTTTGGGCCTACAGTAGGGCTTTGCAGGACTCACAGGCTTTGAAGGCTATGGGGCTTCTGGGATTTAGGATTTGGTCATGGGGGATACGGCGCTAGCAGTCCTGTTCATAACAGGACTGTTAGGGTTAAGGGGTGTTTAGGGTTTGGGGCTCCTAGGGTTTGTCGGGTCGCAGTAGAAGGCATATAGCCCTGCAGGGATTGCATGGTGTTCGAGCACCCGCTGCTTGCGGCTGAGGGGGGGTTCCTTGTAGCAACTTGGTTGTTGGAGGCTCCATGCCCGTTTGCCTGGGCTGTTTAGGCTGGGCCCTACCCCAACGTCAGGACTCCATGACCGGTAGCAGCAACCCCCCCGGAGGGAGCGACACTTGCAACCAGACAGTGCAGGAGCCTAGGTGAAACGCTAGATGTCCCTAAAGAGCCCCTTGCAGAGTCCCAGCTTTTGAAGGGCCCCCCGGGGGGAGCCTGGGCTCACCTAGCGCAGGCCCCGAAGCAGCAGCTTGACCAGCTCTTCAACTCGCCCTTAGGCCGGCCGCCTTGTGTGTGAACGGACTTTTTTCACATGGTCGGGCCAGCCCAGAATATCCCAAATCTTGAGTGAGCTCATGGCACCGTGGGAACTGCGCCTGCTCAAGCAAGCGCCCTCTTGCCATGGCCAACCCCCCAAAACACCTTCGACGCCGCTCTGAAGTAAAGCCTTTGTGGTTCGACCCCGGGGCTTCCGATGCGGAGGTGCGGCCACGCCCCGTCGAGCACGCAGCCCAGGCACCCCGGACTGAGCGTTGGCTTCAGGTGCTCCCCCAAAAGGCCCCAAAGCCACTGCTTCAACCTGAACTCTGCGGAGGTGAGGTGAGTTGAGCCTTGCAGAACTTGAGGCGCCCAGAACTACTTTTGGTTTTGAGGGCTGAGGCGGGGTTCAAGGTTTGGGGACGTATAAGGTTTCGGGTTCACTGTTGGCATTGGGGCGGCTCCCTGCACCCGTGGCCCACGGCCTGAAGCTTTAAAGCAGCTTGCGCCTAAACCCCGTAGATCCACCGTCTCGCCGCGCAAAAACCCCAAGCACCGAAGCCATGGCCCAGCTGTGCCCTGCGGTGTGAGGCGTAAACCTCACGCCAAGGTCGCCAAAGAAGGAGGCGGGGCGAAGTTCACAAGAGGCATTGGAGGCATTGGAGCTGTTTCAGGTTGGGCGTAGGGCTTCGTGTGGATGTGTGTATCTTGCCCATTCACACTGCTCGTGGCTGGATTCAGGGTCAGGGGTGTAGAGCTTGCCGGACTTCCTTAAGCTGAAGCCCGAACCCTCAAAGCGCAAACCGCCTAAGTCAAACCCACTCAAAGCCTCGTTGTGATGTTTGGGTGCCGTTTTTGCTTTGTACGTGCGTTTTTCGTTTTTTTGGGGGGGTGGCCGGCCCGGTGAGTGCACTGGAAGAGGCACGCCTCCCCGCATCCACCGCTAAAAAGCGAGCCCCGGCACCCGCAGCAGATGAAAAGCGCTTCCCGCACCTGCAGCCCAAAAGCGCCGCAACAACAACAAACACTCTTGACGCTAGTGGCTTTCCCCTAAGCACCCCAAACCCCAAGCCCTAGGCCCCAAACCCTAAACTCCACACTCTAGAAGCCCTACGTAGATCCCAACAACCCTTCCAACCCTGTCAACCCTAAGCCCCAAAGCCCTATCAACCCTCTCAGCCCTTTCGCGCCTGGAGAGCTCCGAGGCGCGCAGGGCCCTGAGCCCGGCCCAGCTGCCCCCGCGACCCGTGGGCTGGTCCCAGGTGGGAAGTGGGGTTCTTCGGGTTGAGGGTTGGGGAAAGCCCTGAAACGGAAGTTTCAAAATGTAGGGGGGCTTTAGGGGCTTGGGGGGTTTTAGGTCATGGGGCTTTAGGGTTTGGGGTTTTGGGTTTTGGGGTTGTTTGGGTTTGGTTGGATTGCTGAGGAATTTGGGGGTGGTTTCGGGATGTCTGAGATGATGGTTGAACGTGCAGTGTAGGTTGAGGATGCGTTAGGGTGCCTAGGGTTTTTGGGGGGTGTAAGGGTTGTGATGCAGGATGGGGGACTTGGGGGAGGGTTTAGGGGGCTGGCTGCAAGATCTGGGAAGGGTTTTTTCCCAGAAGGTTCAGTTGCAGCATGAAAGTAGGTCACCCAGACCATCCTAAAGTTTAGGGTTTAGGGTTTAGGGTTAATGACGTGGGCTTTTTGGGCGACCGCACGCCCAATTTGTACTTCTACAGGTGAGGACCCCCAGCCCAAAGCCTAAACCCTGACCCTCCAAGAATTCTGAGAGCTTGGCTCCACTTGAGTAGCCAAGCCACAGGCCGCACCGCTTCCGCGAGGCCGGCAGTTTGTTGGGGGGCTTGGGGACTTCTTGGGGTTTCGGAATTAGGGGTACCTTGTTGGATTCCTGATTTTAAGGGGCCTCCGACAATTTGGGGGACCTCTTACTTTCGTAAACCCCTTTTTTGGTCAGGGTTGAAGAAGGCCACAAGTCGAGGCGCAGCCCCTTGGGCCTGAACTCCTTTGAGAGCCCCTCCGTGAACCCAACACGCATGCGCACCACGACCCTATATACTAAGAGGCGGCATCATAACAGGGCCCTAAAGAGAGCTGACATTCTAAGGCCGCCCGCACCTCCCAAGTTCGCTAGGTGAGGCCGGCCTCGCTGACTCCCAGGCAGAGGCACGAGCCTCGAAGTTACGGGCATGCCTTGGCATTTCGGGCCTCGTCCCCTCTCACAGAGAAGCCCTGGAGAGGGCCGGCTCAAGTGTTTGCGCCGAATGAACTGGGCCTTGGAGTTTGGGATTCAGTAGGCTTAGGGCTTGAATTTCGTCTTTCGAGGGGTTGCCTTGGGGAGATTTCGGGTGTGGGGAACTGGCTGATGCCTTGGCATGTGTTTATTTTCAGGGTTGTATGCTATCAGAGCCCCAGAAGAAGGGATCCGAGTTGGAGAGCTGCCCAGCTACAACAGAAGTCGCCGCGTCAAGCACCCTCAGCCCGACTCTGAGTCCTAGCAAACCTTCATCACTTAACCCCTTGGCCTTAGAGCCTCAAGAGGCGAAACAGACATTGCCTCCTTCGGGTGTTAATCGCCTCTGTCGTTCGTTGCCTCAAATTCATCGAATCTGCCAAAGAATCCAAACTTTAAACATTCAATGGCTGATCCCAAATTCCCAAGCTCTACATTTCCGAGGCGTCTGTGCTTGAAGACTGCCTGAGGGCCACGGCCACAGGATGGATCTCGAGCCGAGAATCTCCTTCATCGTTGATTGCATGAAGTCCCGCAAAAAATCTTCGAAACGCGTCCTTCATCATGTTTCGAAACCAACTATGACAGGATAAACATACGGAGACATATGGAATATGTTCATACATACATGAATGACATGAAGCAGAACGGGCAACGCATCACCGACGCAGGTTTGTTTACATGACATATCGAACACGACCAACAGTCCGATATGTAAAGACACCAGGGGTATGTCCTACAGGCGTAGTTTCACGATGATGGTTGAGGGTTTCAGGCACATCAAGCCGAGTATGCCTTGGCCGAGGCCTACGAGGAGTTTGCGCCACTGCGCGTGCCGCCGAACTCTCCGGTGCAGCCCTCATCCCAACAGCAGTTTGTGGGCTTGTGGCCATCAGTGAGAACTGCAGTGTCTGCCGGCAAGTTCGAGTGCTCAGGGGCAGTATCACTTCAACTTGTTACGTAGCCCGTTAAAGAGATGTGGGCCGACTTGGCCCGCAGTGAAAAGCCCCCCCTTCCGTTTCTGCACATCTCTTCGCTGCGCAGAACAAGTCCCTCACCCCTGCCCTGGCCGCCGCCTTCCAAGCGATGGAGCAGAACCAGGTGGCTTCTGCGGTGGAAACTTGGGCTTCCAGCGAACCTTTAGAAACCTTACAAGCAGGGACTTGGGAGAACTGCCTAGGGCTTGCCGGTGAACCGTTAACTGTTCGCTGCCGTCGAAGTCCCAAACACTTCAAAACCCTCAGAGACTTCTCTGAGAGTCACAAGCCTGAGCTCAAGCTGAAGAGCTCGTGGCCCTCCCCACTTCGTCCCCAAACCCTATAAACCCGTAGCCCCGAGCCTTTGACTCAAACTCCTCACCCCTGAACTGCCCAAACCCTAAACCCTAAACCCTAAACCCTAAACCCTAAACCCTAAACCCTAAACCCTAAACCCTAAACCCTAAACCCTAAACCCTAAACCCTAAACCCTAAACCCTAAACCCTAAACCCTAAACCCTAAACCCTAAACCCTAAACCCCAAACCCTAAACCCTTAACCCTAGACTCCAAGCCCTTCGGAAGGCGCCTCAGGGGCAGTGGATCCAAAGAATACTGGTCGCAGCCTTGGGTCGTTGACGGGGCTGTCAGAAGTCTTGCGAGGGTTTAGGTTCAGGGTGTAGGGTTTAGCAAGATCCCCTTTAGTGCTTCCCATTATCCCATTGTGCAGGTATGCTATGGTCATAGACAATTGAAGAGCTGCCCAGATGAAGGCCCTAAACCCCACCAAGCCAAAAAGGGTTCAGGGTGTAGGGCTTGGCAGGGTTTAGGGTTTAGGGTTTAGGGGCAAAGGCTTCTGGGTTGCAACGTCAACGCTGCCCAACTAAGCAGGGGGTGCGGTTTGTAGGGCTCCGGACATGCAAGGGTGTACGAATTAGGGGTTAGGGTTTAGGGCTTAGGGTTTAGGGTTTAGGGTTTAGGGTCAATCTCAGTTATGGGCCCTCTGGGGGTCTCTCATGGTACAGTTTGTTTCTTATACTTGAAGGATCTTTCAGCCAAGTCCCACGTAAAGCATTTGTGCGGCTTAGAAAAAAACCCATCAAAGTCAATCTTCATCAAGAGAACCAGTCGATGCTGGGCTGTTTTCTTGTTGGTGATATCCGCAGAACTACAAGCTGAGTCCCCCCAGAGAATCAGCCGGCGAAACAAAGCTGTGTAAGAGTTTCACAGCTGGATATAGGTACGCTCTTCGTATAGTTTCTTAGGTTTGGTACTGCAATCGTCTGCTACGGCCTGAAGGTGGAGGGCATGGGATTGCGCTGGGCTTGTTGCCGTTCAGGAATGTTAAGGAACCCTGAACGAAGATATCAGACAGTGGATAGTATCGTCAATCACATGGCCACCCATTCTGGCAAGGGCATGCTGAAAGCGCCCTTAGCGGCAACCTTTCCGAGGAGTCCGCCATCGGCCAGATCTGTGCAGAGGAACCCAGCCTGTAACTCGCCGGGAGCCCGGGAGCCCTGCAGCCTGGGCGTCATGAGGGCAACGCGAAATTGGTGTTGAATTTCTGAAAGCTGTGAGTTCGGGCTTTCGCTGGGCCTCAGGGGTTGAGAGGTTTAGGGCTTCAGATTTGGCGGCCCGCCCGAGCGAAGAAGAGGCTCGGTCGGGCGGCGTTGGGCTAGCGATGTATCCACATCAAGCAGGGCCCATGATAGCGGCAGGGAGTCGCCAACGACCAAGGCCTTCCAAAACCCCAAAACCTAAGCCCTCGAAACCCTGAAGCCGAAGCCCTACAGACCCTAAACCCCTAAAGCCTGTCAAGCCGAACTCCGTTGAACCCTCACCCGGGATTAAATCCCACTCGAGCCGCTTTTGAAGCCCGAACGACTGGAGCCGCAAAAGCACGAATCCGAAAGAAGCAGAGGTTTGCACTAGATCCGGGTTTAGGGCTTAGGGTTTAGGGTTTAGGGTTTATCCGCTGTGGAAAGTTCCGGAGGCTAGCCCCGGACCAAATACCCCTAAATTTGCTAATGCTTCGAAGGGGAATGGGGCAGGGGGAGGGGGGGTAAGAGCAAAAACCCACGTGTAGCAAGCCTTGGCCTGGGGGGGGGGACTCTCAACTTTGAGTTTCAGGTTGGGGGGTTTGGTCTCCCATGACCTTCCGGCATTGCAGCGTTCGCCGTGGCTCACAGGATCACCCAGCCACTCCGAAACCCATGAGCCCACAGCACCTTTCCAAGCTTCAGGGTGAGAAGGCATCTGCCCCCCCGCATCCTTCCCTAAGGCTCCTTCAGGAAGCAGCAGGTCAGAAATCAAGAGGGGAGGCGACGTAAACCCACGGCGAAAAGAGGCGTCCGTGTCTTCCCGTACCCAAGAGGCCACAGCCGGAGCCGCGCGCCTGTGCGGCGGCCGCCATGCAGGGGGCCGATGACGCCTCCTTCGCCCTGTCCCTCATGCTGATCGGCAGCGTGGCGCCCCCTTGGCGCGCAAGAAGGCTTCGACTTGCCAAGAAAGGAATGAAGAAGCTGCTGTAGCAGCACGAAGAATGTGTATAAGTGACCCTGGCAGTAGGTAAAGGTCGAGGAAAAGTACGAGTAGGAGGAGTAATTAGCCAGGCACTTGCAAGAGTGAGTAAGTAGCAAGGGGTTGATAACAGAATAGTAAGAGACTAGCAAGAGCAATAACAGTAGTCAGAGTAGAAAGGAATACTTGCAAGAGAGCAGCTGCAGTAGTAAGAGTTGCAAGAATTGTGTGTGTTACCCAATTGGTTCTTGAGCCCCTAAAGCCAGCGGGCATCGGGGATAACCTAAACCTGAAACCCGAAGTTTCCGTTTGTCGACTTCTGAGGTTTGTGCTGACGTTGTTCTACCTCTTGAACTCGCCGGATCCGCACATTCAAAGTGAGCTGGTCTGCAAATTCAAGGCTTTAGGTTGAGGGTTAGGGTCTAGGGCGTTTTGGGCGTACGAGTCGCGTCTTACGCAGCCTGAAATCGTGGTTGTTCCGGATGGGGCAAACTTCGAACACGCTCAGGCTACTCCTGGAATGTCCTCAGTGGTGCCATTTGCACCTTCATGGGCGTCCGAGTAGGCACGGCTTGGAACGCCATGGTCACCTTCTACGTCTCCATCCAGCAACCAGTATTTGGGGACTTGTTCTGGCTGGGTTGCGAGGAACCAAGAGTTGGTTCAGCCTTACAATGTGGGTGGCACTCAAAGGCCACGGTCCCAAAACCCGATGCAGGTTCGCGAGGCCTCGTCCAGAGTCCCTGAATGGCATCTCGTGCCCCCAGCCACAAGTTCAATCCATAGCTCCCACGGAAGCCTGCCACACCTGGGCTCGGCTTCACGAAACCCCAAGCCTTGAGTGCCCTAAACCCTAACACAGATGCTTCTAAAGAGCATTCTCACACACGTTTCTCAACGCAAAGCCTTACCTGTTGAGCCTTCTGGGTCTCCTCCCTCTTCCCCCCCCCCCCTTCTCTGCAGCCTTCAGCTCTCGAGGTTCTGGGGCCTGACGCTTCGCCCCTCAGCACCCTGGCAGCCTCTAGTAGCGATGATATAGGGTTTAGGGTTTAGGGGTTAGGGTTTAGGGTGCCCCCTACTATAATTCCTATTGACGGCTGTTAGTTGAAGGGGGAGCATCCCAACTTTCGGGGTTTTTTACGCTTTAGGGATTTCTAGGTTTCGGGTTAGCGGAGTGCAAGAGCCCATACTGTAAAAAGGTGCTCCCGAAAGGCCTGTAGTTTCGATGAACCCAAACCCTAAACCCACCCCAACACCCCGACCGGAAAGCTTCGGAAGCCGAAACCTGCAAGCCCCGGGCCTCCTTGATTGAACTTCTGAAGCCCAAAACCTCTAAACCCGACAACCCTGGAACCTCAACCTTTAGGGTTTAGGGTTTAGGGTTTAGGGTTGTTTAGCGTTTAGGGTTTAGGGCTTAGGGTCTAGGGAGCAACCGGAGATGCCATCAGTTCGGCCAGTTCCCCCCCCCCCCCCCCCTGTGAGGCAGGATCGCGGCCAATGGCGCCGTGGCGTCAAAGCAGGAGATAGTTGAGGGCCTTACACTTGGGAGCCCAAACAATTTCCAACGCTCTCCCCTCAGGATCCCGATGTCGCTCCTACGATACACCACCCAAAATGCACATTCCCCGAAACCCTAAACCCTAAACCCAGACCCTAAACCCTAAACCCTAATCCCCAAACCCTAATCCCCAAACCCTAAACCCTATCAGGCCCCTGGTGGGGTTCAGGCTTCGAATGTCTCGGGTTGGACATGAGCGTTGGGCGTCTCGGAGAAGTCTGGCAACCCCAAACCCGAAACCCTAAGCCCTAACTAAACCCTAAACCCAAAAGATCCTAAACCCTAAGCCCTAAACCCTAAAACCTAAAACTCTAAACTCTCCCTAAACCCTAAACCCTAAACCCTAAACCCTAAACCCTAAACCCTAAACCCTAAACCCTAAACCCTAAACCCTAAACCCTAAACTCTACAGCCTGGCTGTACCTCGCATAGCCCAAAAGACACCGAAGCCAGGTATCCTGTCTCTGAGTCGGCGGCTGAGCACTCCCCGGGTCGTAAGGGAGGGGGGGCGCCCTAAACCCTGAACCCTGAACCCTAAACCCTAAACCCTAAACCCTAAACCCTAAACCCTAAACCCTAAACCCTAAACCTCAATCCCTAAATCCTCAACCCTAAACCCCAAACCCCCAAGCCGCCCTTAAACCCGCAGACCCCCAAGCCCACAAACAACGCCGGAAGAAGCCCAAAAGGGCCCTTCCTAGCAAGCCTTGATGCAGTGAGAGATGGCGGAATGGGGCTTGCATCGGGCGTTTCGGTTTCTAGGGGTTTCGAACTTTCGGGCTTGCAGGATCGGGGTATTGGGTTGTTGGGCTCCCTGGGCTTCTTCGGGATGAAGTATTCCCTTTTTGGGGCTTTCTTAGGGTTTACAGGGCCTACGGTTTAACATCGCGCGCGGCATGCTGGGGGCTGAGACCCCAGACATGTGCCTCTGGTCTCGGGGCTTCGAAAGTTCGGCCGTTTCGTTTGTCCATGCCGAAGCCCTGGCTTTAGGGTTTGGGGTTAAGGGCTTGGGTTTTTCGGGTTTCGGGTTTAGGGCTTGGGGTTTAGGGTTTATGACTCCAACTGCTTGCGAGGCCTTCGGCATCAACCCGCAATCCTCCCCAGGCCTTCGAACCCGTCGCCCCCCCCTCAACACAAGCACAAGCAAAAGGCGAGAACAGAGCAAGCCCCTCAGCCCCGAAAGCCCCGTAATCCTAAACCCTAAACCCTAAACCCTAAACCCTAAACCCTAAACCCTAAACCCGCAAAACCCGCAAAGCCCGCAAAACCCGCAAAACCCGTAAACCGGACTCGGAGGCTGGTATCTGCTCCTTCAGATCGTGCTCGCATGGGTCTGCGGGCTCTTCAAGCACGCAGGCGCCGGAATGCACCAGAGCCTTACGTGACCGCCGGCCCTTGAACCCCACACCCCAAAGCCCGACAACAAGCCCAAACCGTAAACTAAGCCCTGTTTGCATAGCAGCAGCAAACACGAACCCTGTAGAGATTCAGGAGCGCGAAGGAATGGCTTTTGGCAGCTTAGGCAGAGTCGCTCGCCACAATGCTTGGGCTTTACGACTGCCACATAAAGTCGAGCCAAAACCTGAAACTAGAAATGGCCGCAGGACACAGACACAGCACGGACATTGTCCACATGGTGCTGAACTTGTCTGGCCCTGAGACTGGCTTTGAAAGCCTGGACTCCAGGACCCCACACACTTTGTGGAAAGCGCCTGCACAGCCCCTGCACATGAACCAAGAAACCCTAAGAACGTCAACAAAGAGCCCCTTACTCAAGTTCTAAACCCTAAACCCGAAACCCGAAACCCCAAAACCCTAAACCCTAAACCCTAAACCCTACAGAGCTTCATCAGCTCCCCCCCCCCCCGACCCCCCCCGAAAACCCGAAAGCCCTCGATCTACGAAGCGCGAAGCCGGGAACTGAGGAAGTGCTGGGCAGTAATGCTGGGCATTGTCACAGGCCCCTTCCGGGGAAGGGAGAGGAGTCTGAGAGAGACGTGGGGCCTAAGGGGCTGAAGCCCCTAAGCCCGAAACCCCAAACCCTAAACCCTATTTCAAGTTTCCCGCAAGTTTTGCCCGGCTTGGGTTCAGTGTTTTTGGGGTTTTAGGGCTCAGGGCTTTCGGGGTTTTGAGGGTCTGAGGGCTTCGGGAGTTTGGGGTTTGGTTTTGGGGGGTTTCGAGTTTAGAGTTTTGGAAGAATGAGGATGATGTGCCTCGGTGTCGCCCGATGATAAGGGGCTGTTTGAAAAACACCGAAGCCCTAAACCCTAAAGCCTGAAACTGAACCTTAAACCCCAAACCACCCAAACCCCGTCCCTTAAACCCCAAAGCCCACAAGCATGCCTGAAGAAGCCCTCAACGGCCCTTCTAGCCGAAACTCTCAACCGCATTGAGACGAGCCTCATTGTGGGCCCATGGCTTGATCTCTTTGATGCTCGTGATGCTCGCCCTGGGGGCGCCAATTCGCCCGGCTGATGCTCGTGATGCTCGCCGTGGGGGCGCGCATGCCCCACAATTCACCCGGCTGATGCTCGTGATGCTCGCCTTGGGCGCCACCATGCCGCACAATTCACCCGGCTGATGCTCGTGATGCTCGCCTTGGGGCACATGCCGCACAACTTGGGGGCGCTCATGCCCCACAAATCACCCGGCTGATGCTCGTGAGGCCCATGCCGCACAATTCACCCGGCTGATGCTAGTGATGCTCCCCTTGGGGGGCCCAAACCCCACAATTCACCCAGCTGATGCTCGTGATGCTCGCCTTGCACAATTCACCCGGCTGATGCTCGTGATGCTGATGCTCGTGATGCACCTTGGGGGGGGCCCATGCCCACAATCCACCCAATTCATTCGGCTGATGCTCGCCTTGGCGGCGCCAATGCCCGACAATTCACCCGGCTCATGCTCGTGATGCTCGCCGTGGGGCCCCACATTTCACCCGGCTGATGCTCGTGATGCTCCCTTTTGGGGGGGGTCCATGCCCCACAATTCACCCAGCTGATTCTCGTGATGCTCGCCTTGGCGGCGCCAATGCCCCACAATTCACCCGGCTGATGCTCGTGATGCTCGCCTTGGGGGCGCCCATGCCCCACAACAATTCACCCGGCTGATGCTCATGATGCTCGCCTTGGGGGCGCCCATGCCGCACAACTCACCCGGCTGATGCTCGTGATGCGCGCCTTGGGGGCCCCATGCCCCACAATTCACCCGGCTGATGCTCGTGATGCTCGCCTTGGGGGCGCCCATGCCCCACAACAATTCACCCGGCTGATGCTCATGATGCTCGCCTTGGGGGCGCCCATGCCGCACAACTCACCCGGCTGATGCTCGTGATGCTCGCCTTGAAAACGCACAATTCACCCGGCTGATGCTCGTGATGCTCGCCTTGGGGGCGCCCATGCCCCACAACAATTCATGCGGGATGCTCGCCTTGGGGGCGCCCATGCCGCACAACTCACCCGGCTGATACTCGTGATGCGCGCCTTGGGGGGCCCCATGCCCCACAATTCACCCGGCTGATGCTCGTGATGCTCGCCTTGGGGGCGCCCATGCCCCACAATTTATTCACCCGGCTGATGCTCATGATGCTCGCCTTGGGGGCGTCCATGCCGCACACCTCACCCGGCTGATGCTCGTGATGCTCGCCTTGGGGGCGCCCATGCCCCACAATTCACCCGGCTGATGCTCGTGATGCTCGCCTTGGGGGCGCCCATGCCCCACAACAATTCACCCGGGATGCTCGCCTTGGGGGCGCCCATGCCGCACAACTCACCCGGCTGATGCTCGTGATGCGCGCCTTGGGGGCCCCATGCCCCACAATTCACCCGGCTGATGCTCGTGATGCTCGCCTTGGGGGCGCCCATGCACCACAATTCAACCAGTTGATGCTCGTGATCGCCCATACCCGGTATTTATACCGGCTGATGCTCATGATGCTCGCTTGGGGGCGCCCCATGCCCGACAATTCTCAGACTGATGCAGCTTGTGATGATCCTGTTGGCTTTTAACCGTTTACGTAACCCCACTTCAAGATGGGCGAGACTTTTCCCCCTGCGTTTCCGTCCGACATCCGCATGCAGCCCACCCAATGCCATCAGCTAGCTTACAGCTGCTGGGCTCGGTGCTTTGCTTGCACTGTCGAAGAACCTGAACTCACGCCGGAAGCCCCTGTGTGCCCGGTAAAGGCGCGAGTTCGATGGGCTTCTTCAGCATGATCCAGGCCAGCAGCTAGCTGTAGCTGCTGGGGCCGGTCGGGTGGGCGGGAGTGTGTGTGAAGTGTAAGTGCTTAGATTTGAGGGCTGAGGGTGTTCGGTTTCACGGCTTTGGGGTATGCCACGGCTTCGGGGTATGCTTGTTTGTTTGTTTTGTTTTGTTTTGTTTTGTTTTGTTTGGTTGCTTGCTTGCGTGTGTGCGTGCGTGGGTGTGTGGGGTGTGTGTGTGTGTGTGTGTGTGTGTGTGTGTGTGTGTGTGTGTGTGTGTGTGTGTGTGTGGCCGCCCTTTTCCTTGTCCCTTTTCTGCAGAGTGCCGTTGTGGGAGGCGCCCTTTTTTGCTGCAGGCGTGAGCCAGCCTACTCCCTCACCTCCCAGCGAGAAAGAAAAAACTCGGCACAAGCAACTACAGTATGAGGAATAGCGCCCTGCATTCTGTGGCAGGACTTGGGGAGGGACAGCTTTCTGTGGGTGATTTCGCACCTTGGCCGCGGAATGATGCAAATAAACTATAGTACATCGCGTAAATTGTCTAGCGTGTCGTATGCAAGTGGCTATGTAGAAAGCTGCGTCTGGTGCTCTGTCCCAGCCGCCTTGCTGCGGGTCTGTGGTTCTCATCGCCCGAAACGCCGTAAACAACTCCTAAGCTCCTAAAGCGTTCCCCTACACTCCGGAACTTCTGAACCCCTAACCCCAAAAGCCTGAACCCTAGTTGCCTGAACCCCAAAACGCCTGAACTCTGAATCCCCAATTGTGGAGCCAAGGATGCCAGTGGCAGCCCGGCGCCGCTATTGGCTTCAGGGTTTTCGGGTGTCGGACGGCGGGTTCAGGAGGAAGGGGAGTCTTTTGAGTACAGGTCTCTGGTAGGTTTCTAAGTCTGCTCCGGTGTTGAGTGGTGCTTGGAGAGTAAAGGGTTCAAGAACTCGTGCTTTGAGGCATGAGCCTTGTCACTTCAGGGATGTTCAGATTTTACGGGGCCCGTGCCGCAAAGGTAGCCTTCTTCGTTCTTGGAGGCATTTACCACGTCGGTGACAGCCACTTGTCCGCACAGTGCTGTTATCAGTTGTGAGAGAGGCTTCCATAGGTCTTGGAAATCTTGAAGAGCCTTAAAGCCCTCAATCTCAGCCCAAAGCCGGCCCGTGTGCTGCACGCCCAGATATCCGGACGCACGTCTCGAAGCGCCTTGTCGGCAATCAAAAGCATCCCAACCCTCAACTGACTATCCGTGTGAAATCTGAATCCTCAGTGGTACGACCCAATTTATTGGGGTTTGGGGTGAACAGGGTTTAGGGGGCAACGGCAAGAGTTGGGCGGCCGAAGGGTCGAAATGCTATTTTGCTTAAAATGACAACCGGCACATTGCGGCTGTGCGGCAGTCTCCAAAGAACAGGGGGGCCCCGATCAAATCTGCACCGGCTTCTTGGAGCTATCGGGTATAGCATCCTGAGTGCGCAACGAAGCTGTTAGGAAGCTGTGTGCCTGGAGTTGCTCTTATGATCCTTAAGGGTTGTTTTGCCGGTGGTTCTCTTCGGGAATCATCCGGTGAAATTCGAAAAACGGAATGCCAACTCCCGATGCTGGCAGCCGTGGCCCTCAGCACCCCGAAACCCTAACTAACCCCCAAGCCCTGCGTCCTAAGCCCTAAGCCCTAAAGCCAAAAAGCCTAAACCTGAAGAGCCCCCGAACCCTGGCAAGCACCACTTAAGGATGGATGATGATGAAGTCGACCTCTACGAGGCCGCCTGGGACAAGTACACCGATCAGACGGAGGACGTGGCGACTGGCCTGTGTTTAGCGTGGAGAAGGGGCCTTTAGCGGGCCTTTGGGGGCTTGAGGTTAAGGTCTTCAGTCGGCCCCTGTGGTATCGATAGGACAAGGCAGAGCAATTCTTCTGCAGGCCGTAGACGTGCCTGATCAAGAGGCCAAGGAGGGCGGATGCCGGAAGATTCAGCATTCCATGATGCCGAGCTCGCTGCGAAAGTTCTTGAGTTCGTCCAACTTGGTCGGACAGTCGCGCCTGTCCTTGAAACCCTAAACCCTAAACCCTAAACCCTAAACCCTAAACCCTAAACCCCAAACCCTAAACCCTAAACCCTAAACCGAGTCCCCAATTTGTTCCCAAGGTGATCGCCCTGACCGTCGGGCACCTGGTAGTGCAGTCGCCCTCCGGCTGCAGCTAGGGCCGTGCTTCTTCAGGGTGATTGAAGCTCTTGAGATTTGGGCACTAGGTCGGGGGCTTCCCAGCCCTTTTTTCAAGCCTCCTATTCCCGAAGCATCCCACAACCCTAAAACCCTACAACCCTAAAACCCTGAAACCCCTAAAGCCCCAAACGAGGTCGCGGTATCTCCTGACGGGCACGCTGCCGCTGCCCACCGGGGAGGTGCGGCCCGGCACCGAGCCTCGGCCGCTCCTGAGCCGACTTCGTTTTTCGAGTCCTAATGGGGTTTAGGGTTTAGAGTTTAGGGGTTTAGGGTTTAGGGTTTAGGGTTTAGGGTTTTAGGGTTTTAGGGTTTTAGGGTTTTAGGGTTTTAGGGTTTTAGGGTTTTAGGGTTTTAGGGTTTTAGGGTTTTAGGGTTTTAGGGTTTTAGGGTTTTAGGGTTTTAACTCTAAGCTCTGCGGATCCTGCAAGCCCTGAAGTTGGTTCAATGAGATTGAAAAAAGGGGAGGGGCTGTGAAAGTCAAACTCTCTCTGTGTGTTGCTTTTGACGAGCCCCTAGGAACAGCTAAGGAGATCGAAGATGGGGACGTTTGGACGCTGGCAGGCCGGCGTGGCTTTTGAGGGGTTTAGGGTTTAGAGTTTAGGGTTTAGGGCAATTGGGGTTCTTTCCTCGTCGGGGGGGGGGGGGGGGGCGGGAAGGGGCCCCAACTAAACCCTAAACCACAAAGCCTAAACCCTTTAAGACGCTAAGCCTAAACCGTAACCCTTCTTCTTATGCCTTCCGTTCGAAAGCCGAAGCTTGAAGGTTTAGAGGGTCAAGCCTACAAACCCTGTAAACCGCATCCAGGTAGGCCCTTGGGATATTGTATATATTTTCCTTTCTTGGGTGCAAGAGGATCATATTCAGGAGTCTTTTTCAGAGGGTTTTAAGGGCCATCCTAGTTATTCACCCTTTAACCCCTACAAACCCTATAAACCTCATTAACCCCACAAACCCTACAAACCCTCTTCACCCTTTCAAGGGTACTAACCCCACAAACCCTATAAATCCCCTTAACCCCTAAACCCTAAACCCTAAACCCTTGAACCCCTGGCATCCCCCCCGGAAGGCTCCAGCCTCATCTACATCTCGCTGATCGTGGGGCTGCAGTTCTGGACGCCGCAGGGCGACGTTGGCCGCATGCTGCAGCGACGCCGCCCGGCGGGTGCTGCAGTTTTCAGGGGTGTTTAGGGTTTAGGGGTTTGGGGTTTAGGGTTTAGGGTTTAGGGTCCGGAGATTTCTAGGTGTTTTTTGGGAGGGTTCAGAGAAAGTTTGTACAGGTTCACAAAGTGGGGGCAATGCACATGATGTACCCTCCACTCGCGACACTTCGACTCGGCTTCTAAAGCCTCACCAAGACAAAAAAGCATCAAGGAGTGTGCCTTTCTTCTGCGCTGTCTGTGCTTTCCTGGGTCTAATATAGGGGCCTGAATAGTTAGAGCAGGGTTTTGGAGGGTTATCATGTTATAATGATGAAGGGATCCTATGGAAATACTCTGAGTCATGATTCCGATCCCCAAAATTAGGCGGGCTCAGCGGCTTCTGAGTCAACACTCAGGGGGAGCACCGGGTGCGCTGATCGAGAGTCTTTACCCCGAATAGAACAGAACTTGAAGGGAAAGGGCCCCTATTCTCGAAAATACCCATAGGGCTGAGCTTGCGAAGCATGTTAGATTCCTTGATGATCCCAGCCACTGAGGCGGCGCGCAGCAGCTGAGTCGCAAGCAAGACCTCAAGACTTTCCCTAAACCCTATGCCCTTAAGCCACTCCTAAACCCTATCCGCCCTTTTTTGTGGTTGCGTTTCCGGTAGGCTTCGGAGGTGTTTAGGTGTTGGGATGTTTCGGACTTCAGACTTTCTGGTATTTGTGGAGGGGTTTCCGAGACATTTGAGGTGTTTGGGCATAAACAGCTTGAAATTTGGCTTCCTCTCACCTTTAAGGGTTGTAGGGCTTGCCATCTTGCCATACCCTGAGCAACCCTGAACACAAAGCCGACCCCCCATCCCCCTCGCCTATCCGCCCTGAAGAGCAGGTTTTTGTCGTGTGGGCGGACGTTCGCGCGGGAGGGTTTTGCCGGGTCTTTGATTCCCGCAGCGTCCGGCCTAAACCCTAAACCCTAAACCCCAAACCCCAAACCCTAAACCCTAACCCAAAACCCTAAACCCTAAACCCTAAACCCAAAACCCTAAACCCTAAACCCTAAACCCCAGTCCCCAAACCCCAAACCCCGAACCCCGAACCCCGAACCCCAAACCCATCCTAATAGCCCTCACCTCAGCTATGCTTCCTGAGCCCTCCTTTGGGCTTCGAGTTGCCAAGGATCCTTGCCAATTGCACCGCCTTTGCCCTCTTCTACAGCACCAACTGGTCTGCACAGCAGGCACGAGGAGCCACGTGCTTTACGCCCCCCCTCCAGGGGAGTTCGTGTTTAGGCTGTTGCCAGTCGGGTGTTCGGGTTTAGGGCAAGCCCGTCTTGAGGGTTGTGGGGGATTTTAGGGGGGCTTTCGGCTGAAATTCTTGTGTGAGGGTGATTAGGGTTCAGAAGTTAAGGGGTTTTTCAGGGTTTTTCAGGGGTTTTTCAGGGTTTTTTCAAGGTTTTTCAGGGGTTCAGTGCTTGCTGACTGGCTTAACGACCTTAAGTTTCAAACTCGAGGGCCTAAGCCCTAAGCCCTAAGCCCTAAGCCCTAAGCCTTAAGCCCTAAGCCCTCAACCCTGAGCCCTAGACCCTAGACCCTAAACCCTAAGCCCTAAAAGCCTCAGCTTTAAACTTCAAAACCCTAAGGGGGTGGCAGAAGACGCACTGCAGAGAACTGGGCAAGGAAGGCACCTTTTGCCTGGCGCTTCCCCCCCCGAAAACCCCTAAAGAACTCAAAGCTTCAGGGTTTCCTGTAACCTTATAGCCCTCAACCCTTCCACCCGCTCTCACCCGCCGAAACTTTCACTCCAAAACCCCCAAGCCTTCATCCATGTCCCCCCGCACTTGGGTTTAGGGTTTAGGGTTTAGGGTTCAGGGTTTAGGGTTTAGGGTTTAGGGTTTAGGGTTTGGGGTTTTTCAGGGGTTTAAAGGGCACCCCAAAGCCCCCCCGGAGCCAGATGATGCAGCTGACTGGGACTGCGCAGAGCCTCGTCGTCGCTCTAGGCGGGCCGGGGGCTGAAGGGACAAAAGGGGGCCCGTCAGGGTTTAGGGTTTAGGGTTTAGGGTTTAGGGTTTAGGGTTTAGGGTTTAGGGTTTAGGGTTTAGGGTTTAGGTTGTTTGGGGTGCCGGGTTTTAGGGGTACTTCATACGCGTTAAGGTTTGGCGTGCATGGTTATCATGCGCAGGGTTTTGGGGTTCCTTGTTTTGAGATTCAGGGAGCCCATGTGTTCTTTTTTTGTGGCCGCCTTTTTTGGTGGATGTTTTTTCTTGGGGAGGGGCTCGGGAAGTGCTGTATCCCCCCCCCCCTTCCCGCCCCTCTCCCGCCCTCGGACCGGATGGCCTCCGGGCCGATCTCTCGGCTTCCTTGAAACTTCGGCGGACGATAGGGTCGTAGAGTCGGTTGTCACGGCCAAGCCCACAGAAGTCCCTAGCGCTCGGACAACCCAAACAAGATCGGGGATTCTGTGGCTTGAGCACCCAATTAAGCCATTAACCCTGAAAATCTGAAGACTGCAATACCAGAACCTTAAGCCAGCCAAATCATTAGGCCCTTATCGCTAAAACCTTAAGGCTTGAGGCACCCAAGCCATTAAACCCTTAACCCTAAAACCTTCAGGTCCAAACACCAAAACGAACCCTAAACACCCAAACCCAAAGCCCCAAACCCCAAAGCCTTAAGGCTTAAACGCTAAAACCTTAATCTGAGGTTCCACCCAAACCCAGCCCTTTGTGCATTTCATGGCAAGTGAAGAGAGATTGCGCCCGCTGCGCAGGCGTTACGTGGGTGGCGTTCGACGCTTGGCTACCGAGAAGCGCCCCTGAACCCCAAGTCCCGAAACTCGTAGCTTCAAGCCCTATATTGTATCCCGAACATCTTGAACCCCCATTAGCCGCTGGCATTCCTTTTTGTTTGTTGATTTTCACAATTCTTCGGCGACCTACAAAAAGTAGATTTCTGAGGCCCCGGAACCTGAACCTAGGACCCTAAACCCTGAACCCTAATGAACCCGAAACAAAACCCTAAACCCTAAACCCTAAACCCGAAGCCCTAAACCCTAAACCCTAAACCCTAAACCCTGAACCCCCTTATCCCTAAACCCTAGACCCTAAACCCCTTTATCCCTAAACCCTGGACCCCCTAAGACCCTTAGACCCCGAGGGCTGCCTCCTGCTGCTGGATTTCCTTGCGGACCTCGAGTGCACCGGCGAGCGCTTCGACCGGGCGCTGCGGCAGATGGCGGGCGTAATGCTCAAAGTCGTTGCAATGCCATAGGATTTTACGAGAATAAGTAGGATTCCCCAATAAGGTACCCCTAAGTTCGGCAACCCCCATATGAATGGCTGTAAAATGATTTGTAATGAGAATGATGGTTGTAGTTGTTGTGCTTTGATGAGAATGATTCGAATGATGAGAACCATTATAGTGATTATCGTGGCTTTACTTCTTACACTTGTTATAAATCAAAAATCCCTGTTTATTTTAGGGCCTGCAAGTCCACCCCATGGCCAGTGCCTGCCCTCGAACCCTAAACCCTAAACCCTAAACCCTAAACCCTAAACCCTGAACCCTGAACCCTGAACTCTGAACCCTGAAAAAAACCCTAAACTGCCCATGGAAGGTGGCCCCAATTTCCGTTCTCATTGGCTTCGGCTGGAAGGGCGCCTTCGCGACCGCGGGCAACACGCTCGTGGCGGATGCTACCTGGATGCCCAGAGGGTTTAAGGTTTAGCGTTCAGGGTTTAGGGTTCAGGGTTTAGGATTTCAATTTCGGCATCTGTTTAGAGACTGTTCTTGCAATCTTGGAAAGAACAATCATGTTGTTTCTTCTGTTGTGGTCCGAAGTGGAGTTTAGCTTCGGAGATGGTGCGCATTGTCGGGCTGCCAATTGCGCCTGTTCTCTCCATCCCGAAGCCGCGTGTGAATCCTAACGTGAGCAAGTGTCTGAGTGCAGGCTCCATGCAAGGCTGACGCCATCCCCACCACAAGCCCTGTTTCCTTGCTAACCAAGCAGTAATTGCACTTATAACCCAATGAACCCAATTATAACCATATTAAGGTCATTCAGGGGCATACATGTGGATGATAAGTGAAAGTATAACACGAACCTCCAAGCACAGCCTGTTTCCAGCCCTCCCTAAGCTCCCTGAGCCTGAAGATCTAAAGCCCTCAAAGGCCACGGAACACCATGATGCCCCAAGCCCTGAACCCCGCTAACCAGCGAACATCCTGAAAAATCTTAAGCTCTCTGGAGCTCGGCTGCGGGCCCCCCAGATCCACGTCTTCGCGCCTCCTCTGGAAAACCTCCTGATGTGCCTGCACCTCGACTTCCGTTGGCTTGGGGGAGTTGGGGCTTATGGAGTCTCGAGTCGGATGCCTCCTCCTTAGCTTCTCTGCATGCCCTGCGCACCCCGAGCCTTAAACCCCTATTAACCCACAAAGGGGGACGCAAAGGGGGGGACCTTGAGAGGACTGCCCAGAGAGAAGGATCCTCCTGTCCTTTGTGCTGCCGGCTTGGCGGATGTACATCCTTCCCGTGGCCCCTGGCCTGAGCTGTCGGGGGTTTAGGGTTCAGGGTTCAGGGTTTAGGGTTTAGGGTTGAGGGGTTCAGGTTGAGGGTTTTTTGGGGCAGGATCCAGGGATTTGTGGATTTAGGGCCAAGAGCTGTCTGCTTTTCAGAACCTTGAGGTTTGCCAAGCTTTCTTGGGATTCGGCCTTAGGGTCTACCCCTAAACTCTACAATTCAAGCGCAAGAAGCTGACAACCTGAACCGCCAAGGCTGAACCCTATCCCCCAAACCCTAAACCCTCCTGCTTTCGCCCCCAGTTGAAGTCCTTAACCCAAAGTCCCCCAAGGCCCTGGGTTTTTTGGGCGGGTTTGGGGGGGCTTCTGGAGGTTGTGGGGGATTTGGGCGGTTGTAGGTGTTGGGTGTGCGGCCAGGGTGTGGGATCTGGGGCGACCCTCCGGTCTCTGGCCCGAGGTGATGTTGGATGAGCTCAGAGCTATGAGCCGTGGGTCTACTTCAGAAAGAATTGAGTCGTTCTCCGAATGAGTGTCCCTTCTGGGGGTCCTTCTGTATAGGACCCCTTAGAAAGGAACCCTAAGCAAGAGAGAGCCCCCCAAACCGTGGTGCCTAGCTTTTGAGGTTGCGGTTTAGGGCGCAGGGTTTAGGGCCCTCGTAGCATTCGCGAGATGAAGCCTCATTCTGTTCCCTGAGCAGCCAAGGAGGAGGAAGAAAGGGATCCTCAAGTACCACAAAACAGTTGAAGGCATGGCGATAGCAGCTTGCCTGGGGCCTGGTGAGATGTTGGAGGGATCTCCTGTGACTGGGGTCAAGGTACCGGGCTCCAAGGTTTTCAGCATCACCCGAATGGCTGAGAAGCCGAAGGCAAGTACCGACAGGCAAAGTGCTGCGGAACTGCCGAGGTCTACGATGCACCGGAATCAATGCCCCGAAGGGAAAGCCCTAATCATTACTGGGTTTCCTGATTGCCGTCTAAGTTTTAAACCCTAAACCCTAAACCCTAAACCCTAAACCCTAAACCCTAAACCCTAAACCCTAAACCTGAAAACCCAGAGTGTTGGTATTTCCCCCATGAAAAGCCAACCCCTAGATCCCAAACCGCGCTCAATCTGCGAGAATTCAAGGAAGAGCTGATGGATGCTCAAGCCAAGCACGCTTTCCACAAGTGCCCTGGTCCTGTTCGGTGTTTGAGTCTTCCGGCTCATGCTTGTTTTCTCTTGGGTTCATGGGTTTAGGGTTGAGGGTATTGAATTCGCAAGCAGTGTCTCAAGACTAAGGGATTCCAATGTCTAAACAAGGGGGCTAGGAGCGCCCGTGGCCCGGACCATGCGTCTTTCTTGAGCCGAAGCCTGCTCGTGGACATGTTGGGGGCGCCAAATGCGAAACTGCCCTCGCTTTTGGGCGTCTGGGCTCACCAACTGTTCTCGCTTTGGACGTCGTCCCCGGGCTCTTGGTGTCTTTTGGCTGTGCTCTTGATCCATTGCGGTGTTCTTGCATGTCCACATGGTCTGTCACTGTTTGGGGTGCACGCTGGCATACTGGAGCATGTAGGGTCGAGGTGTGGGTGTCGATCCGCTTGTGGCACGCCGTTCTGGCTATGCGATGGAGGTGTGCCCCCCTTTGGCGGCCCTATGGGTGTTTCTTAGTTCTGGTTATTTGGTTCCTGATAAACATCGGTGTGATACTGGCAACTAAACAACCCTTCCTAAAGGCACCGCTATGCATTGCCAGAGACTTACGGCGCCTCAAAGTCATAGTGAGTCGTTTTTGCAGTTATTTCCTCTGGCCTCACCTACGAAACAAAACCCTAAACCCTAAACCCTAACTAAACCCTTAGCCCAAAACCCAAAACCGCGTCAACAAATAGACTCGCCAGACCCTGAAGAACCCTGTGGGCGAAGGAAGAGTGGAGAGGTGAGGAGAACACTGAAGTAGGGTTTATATTTCTGTTTTTGGTGAGTGCATATAAGGTTCCTTTTTGTTATCGGTGAGTGTATATATTTGGTTTTGGGGATACAAGAAATAAAAACCCTACTTCATAATGTTTGAGGGACGAGCCGGGGTGAACGTTCAGGGCAGCTCAAGTTGGGGTTGTGAGCTTACAAAAACCTTGAACCCAAGCCTGAATGAAACCCTAAACCCTGAACCCCAAACCCTGAACCCCAAACCCCAAACCCCAAACCCTAAACCCTAAACCCTAAACCCTAAACCCTAAACCCTAAACCCTAAACCCTAAACCCTAAACCCTAAACCCTAGACCCGAAACCCTAAACCCTAAAACGGCCCTGAGCCCTGCACCCCTCAGCTTCGAGAGCCCCGAGGTTGGAGGTCTGCTTGGAGGCAGCGGCCTTCCAGAACCAAACAGAGGCGGGAGCTGAACCATCCTAGGGTTTAGGGTTTAGGGTTTAGGGTTTAGGGTTTAACCAAAGCCCGAAGCCAACTTAGAGGTTCATGGGTACTTGATAGCCCCAATGGTTTAGGGTTTAGGTTTAGGGTTTAGGGTTTAGGGTTTAGGGTTTAGGGTTTAGGGTTTAGGGTTTAGGGTTTTGGGATTGCTGTGATAGGGCGTAAATGCTGTGAAGGTTAGGCGTTTGGAACAAGCTCGAAAGCTTCGTGAGGTGCGAAGAGCAGCTCTGGCCCGATTGCGGAGGGCCATCTAACACTTTTCTCCCACCCCACACCGTCCGAGGCGTAGCGTGTCCGGTCTGTCCCGATCCCAGCATGCAGGGCAGGGTTTCAGGAAGGTCTTTGGTTTGCCGGACCAAAAAAACGCAGATTTTGAGCACTCGCCCTGAGCCGGCCCAGGGCCCCCTGGTCCCTAGGCATGCTGCGGCGAGGGCTCCGGGACCCGCTGGGCTGGGCTTTTGGGGTTAGCCCCCTTGAAAATGAGAGCGCCGCAGGAACGGATTGGGGGTTTAGGGTTTTTTCGTTTTTCAGGGACCAGTACTGGTCCCGAGAAGACCGTGCGCTCCGGTGCCGGGCCCATCGTGGGTGCTACCTCCGAGCTGTGGGAGGCGGGCAAACGACCAGGGTCGGCTTGCGCCATCGAGGTCGAGGGCTTGAGCGCACTGGCTTTGGGATGCTTTGGGTTTAGGGTGTCGTAGGCTGTAGGGTGTAGGTGTAGAAGTGAAGTTGGGCATAAGGCCTATCACAGCCCTTGTCAGAGGCTCTGAGAATCACAATCGCCGCGCCGCGGCTCATCTTCAAGGCACACGAGTTTTCTGTATCGCGCTGTGTGAAAAGCGGGCACTGCGTGCCGCTTGAATGTGGTTGCACTGCTGCCAGTGGCAGCAGTCTTAGACTCTGTCACTGGTAGCGGAGCCTGTACGCTCCCCTGGACCTTTGCCTCATGGCGGCCGATGGCGCCGACCCATGGGCGACTTGGCAAGCGAACCAGACAGAAGTGCCGGCTGCACAGCCCGGCCAAGCAGCAGGTGATCTTGGAGAGGCCCCGCGGGGCCCCGCTGTGCAAGAACCGGCCTCGGTTCCCCAAGGACCGAATGGAGCAGATCAACCACCGACGCCACCTGGTGCTGACCGCCAATCAACGGGTGATTGGCAAGAATGGCAGTGGAGTTCCTGGCGTCCGCAGCAGACGATGCAGGGTGATGGAATGCCACCTACCGATGGACAAGACGGCGATGGACCTCGTGCTGGTTGGAACGGTACCACACCGTCCGGGAACGACGCGGGCCGCCGATCTTCAGACACCTCAACGACGGCGGGAAGCTGGAGACCTGGAGGCTGGTATTGGTCATCGACGTGGCAAGGCCAATGGACGGCCGACGAATGGCGCCAATGGACGGCTGAGCGAGCCCACTGGGGCGGCGGCAGCACGGCGAGCTCGGCAACCCACAGTGGCAGCGGCTCCGTCGATGGCAGCGGCGCGGCGGCGGCGGCACCTGGGATGGATGGCACGAGCCCTACTACACGACCCTGCATGCCCTCAGCTACACGAACCAGTACTACCCCAACTACAAGATGTGATGAACATGCCGGCGCAGGACCACCGAATGTTCCCGGAGGACGCGGACCCTCGGAGAAGCTGCTGATACCCTCGTTCAGCGGCGAAGGTGAGGGAGGCGAATTGGGGTCGTCGGCTCGAAGTTACTTGAGGCAGATCTGTGCGTGGCAGAGAATGACAAAGTTGGCACCCAATCAGCAAGCCCTAGTTCTCTACCAGAACTTGTCTGGAGCCGCTTGGATCAACTCCGAGGCATTGGACGTCGAGGACCTCGCAACGGACAATGGAGTCGAAGTTCTCCGCGAATGGGTACGACAGCACTATCTGGATGTGGAGGTGACATCCATTGGGCGCAGCCTGAGTGACCTGTTCAGGAAGCTGAAACGGAGGCCAAACCAGACATTCCGAGACTACACGGCCGAGTACAACCGCTTGCTGGCCCGTGTCGTGGAGTGCGGGTGTGTTTTGCCCGACGTGGCCACGGCGTGGCTCTATGTGGACCGGGCCAACCTCGACGAGGTCACGGAGGTGAGCCTGTTGGCGAGTGTCGGCAACAAGTACGCTTTGAGAGCCCTGCAGCAGGCAGCAATCATCCTGGACCGCTCGATGAGAAAGCCGTGGGAACGCGTCGGCAAGGGTGATGGACGCCGGCCTCAGCTGGTACACCACACCGAGGACATCGAAGCCGAAGACCACCACGACGTGGACCCGAGGGAAGGATCTGATGTCGAGCCCCCCGACCAGGACGACCTGCTGCAGGACAATGAGGACCTCTACGTGACGTATATGACGGCCAAGGCCCGGTATCGCGACGCAGCCAAGTCTCGAGGCCTTGACAAGGTGGAGCTCGCCGATGTGAAGCGCACTGCAGAGGAGAGGATCAAGGCGGCGAAAGCCCGCAGTCACTGCGCGGCCTGCGGACAGAAAGGCCACTGGCACCGCGACGCGGTGTGCCCAAAGGCCAAGAATGGGGCCACTCCGGGCGGAAAGCCCCAAACCATCCACGTCACCAACGAGATCTATGAGCTTACGGTTGCTGGAGCCGGAGGACTGCTGGCCATACTGGACACGGCATGCTCCAAAACGGTTGTTGGGACGGGATGGGTCCAGCAATACCTGAACTACACGAAGGACAAGGCCTACAACAACCTCGACTTCATCTATGAGCGAGACGCGTTCAGGTTCGGCGCAGCCGCAAAGATCTACGAGGCCCACTACTCCACCATCATCTTGGCGCCCATCGGCAAGACCTGGATTGCAATCAAGGCCGCAGTCATCCATGGCGACATCCCACTCTTGCTATCACGACCTCTGCTTGCCAAGCTGGGCGGCATCCTCGACCTGGGCAACAACAAGGTCGATTTTCGAGCCCTGGGGAGTGGAGAGCTGGAACTGCTTGCAACACCGAGTGGGCATCCGGCAATTCGTGTCGACCACAAGTGTCCACAGGAGCCCGACCTGGCTTCCATCCCGAAGGTGTGGGAAGCCCATGGATCCGCAGTGCTCGAGCCGCGCCAGGTGTACATGGTAGGGTCGTTGAGCGCTGAGGGCCCTGAAGACCATCCCGAATGTCCACAGATCTTCTACCACAAGCGAAGCATAGATCCAGCTCTTAGGGAACTTCTTCTTGCTGATTCCTTCAATGTGGACGTCTTTCTTGCTTGGTGGAGTAGCAGTAACGTCACTGACTTCTGGGTTGAGAGCCCGACTAAGCTGGTAAGGGTACACGTCACCCCCCGCAAGACGTTCTTCGACCCCCGGAAGTGGAATACCGACCTCACCGCGACCAAAGATCTACTCCTGCAATCTCTAGGAGACCTTCGCGAAACATGGGGTATTGCATGTGTGAGTCGGCGCAGTCTGAGTCCTGTTAGCGAAGTGTGGAGGATGCAGCAGTCAGGCAGCTACCCAACTTTGTGGATTGGCCGAAGCGTCTTCAATCGAGCTAGCACATCACAAGCTGGCCCCAATTCGAGCGTGCCCCCCGCGGTCCATGAGCTCGTCGCCCCCGCCGCCGATATGGAAGATGACGAAATCGCAACTCTTGGCCGAGTGCAGCAGACTCCACATTGTGATCTCGCCCAAGTGGACCTGCCCGGAGCTACGCGCGGTGTTGAGCGAGCACAAGGAGAAGGACAATGGTGCGCTGCCAAAGGGGCTGACGAAGATGTCCCTGGAGGAATTGAAGGACGAAGCCAGCCGCTTGGGGCTAGACACAACCGCGAAGGAAACACGCGGGGCACTCCTGTTGCGGATCAGGGACATGTTGGCGCCCGAGGACACCGTCATGACGATCGGGAGGTTCCGGGGGACATCGTACAAGGACATCCCCGACAACTACGGGCAGTGGGCATCGGACGAGGAGAAGGCAAATGGGGACAACATGCACGCGGATCTGAAGAGGTTTGTGATTTGGCGCCGGAGGTCCCGCATGGAAAAGGGCATGGCAGCGAAGTCGAAGACAGAGTCCTACGTGAACCCGGAGCACGACGCGAAGATCCCACCGCCTCCAATGAGCGAGACCGGGTCGTCTTCATCTTGGGGAATGGTGACCGAGGACAGTCCGCAAAGGGTGCTGACTCCGACACGGAAGGGAAAAGGGTACACCCGAACCCCAAAGCCACAGTCCTTGCGTCGGACCAGAGAAGGGGCCGAGGAGATGACGGAGATGGAGCAGGAGGTGAACCAGCAAGTGCTCGAGGAGATCCATGCTTTGGAAAGTCGGCTGGCGACCTTGAAGGATGCTCACAAGATTGCACCGGGACACCGACAATGAGATCCGACACCGACATCGCTGACAAACGCCGTCACCACCGGGGGAACGACTTCATCCACGACATCCACGACATCAACGACGAGCACCACGAGGAGTATGAGTCGTGTACCTCCGGCACCGGTGACATGGATGAGGAAGGGCACGTGATCTTCGCCACCAAACAAGAAATCGCCGACCACGCCAACAAGAACACGTCCCTCGGCCACGCAGGGGAGCGCAAAGCTGAGCAGGCCCTGCGAAACGGCATCTTCGACTATGACACCCTCGAGAAAATCCTTGAGGAGTACGACTTCACTGCCGGTCTAAAGAGGCCGTCGGTTCATTTTGAGGGAGGCCAACGTTGCGTACTGGGATACTATGCCTTCGGCAACTTCAAGGGCATCAGTCGCAAGACGGTCAGGTGGCCCCATCTATCCCAGTATGTGAACGCGTTCCTCCGCGCTCAATGGGGAGAGGACGATGAGATGCCGCCGTGGACTTCCCTATACATCCAGCGAAACCTCGCCGCTGGCATCCACACCGACAAGAACAACCTGAAGGGAAGCACGAACATCACCACGTCCTTCGGGGACCACAGTGGCGGTGAGTTGTGGGTGGCGCAACCTGGAGGCGGAGCCTGGCGTCGAGATCGCAACGGAGACGAAATTGAGGGAATCCTCCTACACTCCAAAGGGCAACTTTGTGAATTTGACCCACGGTGCAAACATCAGGTTGAGCCGTGGACTGGAAATCGCTGGAGTGTGGTTGCGTATTGTGCCCGGACCTGTCCTGAGGCAACCAATCCTGAAAGGAAGCTACTTCGCGAACTTGGATGTCCGCGTCGCGTACAACGACAAGGAGACGGAACGAAGGTACAACGAGGTCTTCTGTGGGGGAACTACATCGTTTCGGACAGACGACTACCACCAGGCGATCGAGGAGCACGACGTGGAGATCAACAGCAACACCGGCTACCACCAGGCGATTGAGGGGCACGACATGGAGATCAGCAGCAACACCGGCTACCACCAGGCGATCGAGGAGCACGACGTGGAGATCAACAGCAACACCGGCTACCACCAGGCGATTGAGGGGCACGACATGGAGATCAGCAGCAACACCGGCTACCACCAGGCGATTGAGGGGCACGACTTGGAGATCAGCAGCAACACCGGCTACCGCCAGGCGATTGAGGGGCACGACGTGGAGATCAGCAGCAACACCGGCTACCACCAGGCCAACGAGATGCCAGATCGCGAGGTGCTTGCTGTAGAGGCCGCGAACCCCGTGTGCGGAGAAGAGCGCGGGGCCAAGGCCATACGCTTTCCGCCAACCGTGCCAAGCCATATTGCTTCGAGCCTTCGCCGCCTCCACCAAAATTTGGGGCACCCAAGTGTGAGCGATTTCACCCGACATCTCCGGCTCGCCGGGGCAAGCCGGACGGTGCTCAAGGCCGCCAAAGCCTTGGATTGTCAGACTTGCAAGAGAACGCGGGGAGCGGCAAGCGCACGACCAGCTAAGATTGGGAACTGCTTGCGGTTCAATGAGATGGTTGGCGCCGACCTCTTCTATGTGCATGATGCAGAGGGGGCGAAGCACCAGATGTTGTCTATCGTGGATTTCTCGTCGGCGTACCATGTGGTGGTCCAACTCGCCAAGAAAGACACCGGGCACATCGAGCGGGCCTTCTGTGAAGCCTGGGTCAACGTATTCGGCGCGCCTACAAGCGTCATGGTGGACCTCGAGAACGGCTTGGAGAAAGCATTGGCTCGGATAGGCGATTGGACCGGGACCTGGATCCGAAGTTGCGCAGGACAAGCACACTGGCAAGCTGGGATGACGGAACGCCATGGTGCCATCTGGAAGGCACTCTTCCAGCGGACCACCGACGAGATGTCTGTCACCAAGGGAGACATAGCTGTGGCGATCGGCGCAGTGTCGTCAGCCAAGAACAACCTCACGAAGAACAATGGCTATAGCCCAGCACAGCACGTGTTCGGAAGCACACCAAATCTTCCTGAAGATCTCCTGGACGGACGACGAGCCCGAGACCCCACCGACGAGGCCATCATCGACGACAAGCACGCTCGAGAAGTGGCAATCCGGACAGCAGCACGATCGTCCTTCCACCATGTTCAGACGGACGAACGAGTTCGAAGAGGACTAGCCGGAAGGGCAAGGGTCCTAACCAGGCCACCAGAAGTCGGCGAGCAGGTGTTCTACTTCCGGAAAACGAAGAACTCCAAGCGCGGCATGTGGGTGGGACCCGGGACCGTCATCGGCTTCGAGGGCACGAATGTCTGGGTTACCCGAGCGGGACGATGCGCACTGTGCGCACCTGAGCATGTCAGACTGGCCACGGGGGAGGAGCTTGGAGAGGCCTTCACGCTCCGAGCTGCACGAGAAGACCTCGACCGACTGCTTCACGGGAGAGATGGACAAGGGGAAGATATCGACGATGCCGAGGCGGACGGCGACATCTACGTGGACTGGGATGACTATGTGCCATCCGACGTCGAGGGAGAAGAGGTACCCGCCGACGAGGTGATGCCCGAGTCCGGAGGAGAATCATCCCGGGGAGTTCGCCGCGGAGCCGATCCCATGCTTCCTCCACTACCACGAGTGATAAAGCGGCACCGCGCCAAGGGGCCACCACTTTCCACAGAAGAGGCGGCCCACGACACCTACATGTTGAAGAGAGCAAAAACCCCGCGGTCTCGTGAAAAACAGTTAGAAAAAGAGATCCCGTGGGAACAAATTCCGGAGGAAATGAAACCGGAGTTTCGCAAAGCAGAGGGTCGACAGTGGGAGGAACACATCCACCACAAGGCACTCGAAGTGCTCAGCATCCAGGACTCGGAGCACATCAAGCGCACGGTGCCACCGGAACGCATCCTCCGGTCACGGTTTGCTTACCGTGACAAAAACATGGGGAAGCGCCGGGCCGCCCCCGGCACCCCATGGAAACCAAAGTCTCGGCTAGTCGTCGGCGGCCACCTAGACCCAGATGTCGGCCAGGTCGAGATTGCCATAGACTCCCCTACAGTGGCAAGATCGACGCTAATTACCCTCTTTCAGATATGCACCTCGAAGGGATGGGATGCTGCCGCAGGCGATGTCCAAGCAGCTTTTCTCAACGGGCTAGAACTGGAACGGGACCTTTGGCTCCACCAACCTCGAAACGGCATCGAAGGACTACATCCGTCCCAAATCGCCCGAATCCGGAAAGGAGTATTTGGCCTATCGGAGAGTCCCAGGATGTGGTACGATCGGCTATGCCAAGTTCTGCTTCAAGAGGAGTTCGTCTTGGGGGACAAGCGGTACTACCTGGAAAAGTGCCCTTTGGACGCCTGTGTCTTCATCCTGAAACCGGTCAATGGCAACGAGCCCGCAGCGTATCTGGCCGTACACGTCGACGACATGCTGGTGATCGCGCCCCGAGAGCTCAACAAGCAACTCCAGGCGAGACTGAGCGAGCTGTTCCCCATAGAGGATTGGGAAACCAACGAGTTCGAGTATGTTGGATCGTACGTCCGTGTCACAAGGGACGGCGTGTTCCTCAACCAGGCCAGCTTCGTGGAGGGACGGCTTTTCACAGTCGACGTCCCAAGACAACAATCTGGAGCTGTGGCCGCGGACTTCGAGCAGACCACGGACAACAGGTCCCTGATTGGGGCCCTCAGCTGGGTAGCTAGCCAGTCCCGGCCCGACATACAGTGCAACGTGGCACTGGCTCAACAACTACAACGAGCTCCCCTAACCGAGGACGTCCGCTTCACCAACGGCATCGTGACGAAGGCCAAGGCTCACAAGGAACATGGCATATACCTCCGACCCATCGACCTGGAGCGTGGGATCTTCGTGCTATTCCACGACGCAGCCTGGGCCAACGCTGAATGGGAGGAGGCCGAGGAGGGATTCCAGCTCACGCCCGAGGAGGTGAAAAAGGGGACCATTCAAGAACTATACTCAGAAGAACGGCCCCGTAAGCCAAAGAAAAGCAAGTCCCGGATTGCCTCCCAAATCGGTCACCTGGTGATGTTCTTCGACGAGGACCTCCTAAATGGCCACCAACGAGCAGGCAGTGTTCTCGAGTGGCGAAGCCAATCCTGCAAACGGGTTTGCCGGAGCACATTCAGCGCAGAGACCATGGCGGCCGTGGAGGGCATGGAAGGATGTCAGTACCTTCGGGCACTGCTGGCCACACTGTTGGTTGGGCGCCTCGTTACGTTGGAAGCGGCCAGGAAGTGCTGGCCAATCCTCAGCCTGACCGATTGCAAGTCGCTGCATGATCACCTACACCGAGCTGGCCCCGGACGCATTCCATCAGACCGTCGCCTGGCCATCGACCTCGCCGCGCTGAAGGAGGAGTTAAAAGGAGAGAAATGGGGAGGCCGCCTTCCCATGCAGTGGATACCAACGGAGACGCAGCTCGCCGACCCACTCACGAAACCCATGAAGGCGGATGGATGGTGGAAGAGCATCGTCGAGGGCATTCGGCTACCTTTCCGACATGAGCTGTACAAACCCCCGCCGAAGAGGAGGGGGATTTTAGACCAGTGTAGAAGTGAAGTTGGGCATAAGGCCTATCACAGCCCTTGTCAGAGGCTCTGAGAATCACAATCGCCGCGCCGCGGCTCATCTTCAAGGCACACGAGTTTTCTGTATCGCGCTGTGTGAAAAGCGGGCACTGCGTGCCGCTTGAATGTGGTTGCACTGCTGCCAGTGGCAGCAGTCTTAGACTCTGTCAGTAGGGTTTAGGGTTTAGGGGTACTTATGAACCCAAGTTAATTAGAAATCTACTTATGAGGACTTAGGGGGATTGTGTAAGTACAGTTTTTGCTTAGGGTTTTGAGTACCCTGAACCTCCGATCAGGGGTTTACCAATCTGAATTCCTTCTGGGGGGGTTTTGGAGTTTAGGGTTTGGGGCTCCCCGTTCTTCCCTACACCATCCTGAGCCCAAAGGCGGTTTTTTTGGGGTTTAGGGTGTAGGGTTTAGGGTTCAGGGGATGTTTCGGGTTTCGGGCTTGGGGTCTAAGAAGCCCAGCCATTGAGCTCCCAAGTCTGCCAAGAACCCTTTCGCCACTTCGTTGAGGTCTTGCCACCCTAAACCCCAAACCCTACCCTACACCCTGAACCCGAAACCGCACACCTGAAAACCTCCCCCCCCCCTCCATTGTGGGCGGGCGCTAGGGGCATTGTTGGAGTCTAATGAGGACGTATATGTCTCTGCCTAACCCTAAACCAACGCATAATTCCTGAAGCCGCGTATTTTATATTTTCACAGTATGTCGACATTATTTGTGTGATCTATAATTGTATGTAAGAGATGTGTATGAAGGACATTCAATTTTGTACAAAATTGCTAGAAATTTTGTCATATATGCAACTTGCAAGTAAACAATTCCAAAACCCTCTAACCCTAAACCCTAAACCCGAAACCCTGAACCCTAAACCCTAAACCCTGAACCCGAACCCTAAGCCCTATAAACCCTATAAAGCCAAGATTTTCTCTTTTAAAGTCTGGGGTTTCGGCTGGTTGAGGCGTACATCATCGAGATGGAGCGGATGCAGGATGCCCTGCAGACCAAGCTCGCCAAGCTGAGGACCGCCTCAGAGGGCCCTAAACCCTAAACCCTAAACCCTAAACCCTATAAACCCTATAAACCCTATAAACCCTATAAACCCTATAAACCCTATAAACCCTATAAACCCTAAACCCTAAACCCTAAACCCTCAACCCTAAGCCCTAAACCCTAAACCCTAGCCCTAAACCCTAAACCCTGAACCCTGAACCCCCTCAACCCTCAAGCCCTAGCCGTAAACCCTAAACCCTGAACCCTCAACCCCCTGATCCGCTGCTGCTCCAAAGCCCCCGAAGCCCCCCGAAGACCCCGTACGAAGCCCCCCGAATCCCAGGAGTCAGAACGCACAGCTGGACGGCTCCAAGGGCACCAACGGCAACGCGCAGCAAAACACGGATGTCGAGGCCGCCGGAAACGCAGGAAACGCTGCCGCCAAGGCAGAGGAGCCCCACAAGGGACCCTGGAGCCTCTTGCACTGAGCCTTTAGAGGGAGGATGTAGAATGTAGGACCCATTTGTAGGAGAATTGTTTAAAGGTTTTAAGGGTTGGATTTCTCCGACTGGCTTTACTGGCATTGGCTTTTGGCCCCTGCCTCCGCCAGCCCAGCCAAAACGGCTTTGAGCTCCAAATCCTGCCAACCGACGGCCGTCTCTTGAAATCGGACGATTTGGGAAAGTGCTGGAGGTTTAGGTTTGGGGTTTGGGGTTTAGGGTTTAGGGGTTAGGGCCACGCTAGATGGTTGGCTAGCTTTGGGCTTTGGGGTTTTGGGAGTTTTGGGTTTCGGGCTGTAACTGCCCCCCGTATAGTAGCCCGGCAGCTACAAGATGCTACGAGAATGCGACGCAATCCTAAACCCCTAGAGCCCTGAACCTCACGACTGACAGGAGAGTCCTGAAGCCCTAACCTTGGGATGTCCTATGCTAGCAGTCCTTACCGGGGATTATGGTAACCCCCCATTATAATCCCCAGAAAGAACGACTAGTATAAGGGGGAACATCCCAACCTAACCCATAAACCCTAAACCCTAACCCAGACACTCGGTTCATGTCGGCTCCAGATAGTGCTAGACCGCCGGAAAAACTCGTTTTTTTTTTCAGTCGGTTCTATTCAAAGGGACCCTAAACCCTAAACCCTAAGCTGTAAGCCCTACCCTCACAGCCTGGAAGCAAGTCAAGGAATGTGTTGTGAACGTTGCCAGCCCCGCCGTATGCCCAGGCCCGACTGCGAAGTGAGATGGCTGCGGGTGCTTTGGGCTTTCACAAGGGGGTTTTGCCACCTTTTTCAGGCTGGCTGTAGGGCTGTTCGGGTTCTTGTGTTTGAGAAGAGGGGGGTTTCAAGAAGTCTTTCGGTGTTTTTTTTAGGGCTTCTCTACAAGGTTCTAAGGGTTTAAGAGCTTCGATGACTTAGCTTAAGGCAGTTCTTGCTTGGCTTCACCGGGGCGTTGGGGTGTAAAGTCCCATCTGCAGGGGGCGTGTGCAGCAGCCGTGGTGCAACCGTCGCAGGGGATGAGGGCTTTAGGAAGCTGTGGGCCTCACAAGATGCCTGTGTGCACCACGGGTCGTCAACCCTCGGATGATGAACACAATGCATGCGCTGGACGGGGAAGAGGGCTCCCAGCGGGTCGAAAAGAAGGAGCGCAGTGCGAGATGCACGGGGGGGGGGGGGGGGGGGGGGGGGGGGGGGGGGGGGGGGGGGGGGGGGGGGGGGGGGGGGGAGGCGAGGGCAGGACAAGGGGAAGGTGGTGCTGCACACCCCGCGGCCCTGTGGCGACGCAGCCCCCGCATTCTGAAAAGCCACTGGCTGAGCGTTGCACAAGCTAGTTTTCTACCGCGGCACTGTCTCTCTTTCTATCTTGGTCTTTTTCTCTCTTTCTCTCTTTCTCTCAAGTGTCTCAGGTGGATCAAAACCGGACCGTTGGCCTCAGCACATGTGAAACCAATAAGTTGGAAAACAAGTTGCGGGAAGCAACAGCAGCCGCTACACCGGATCGGCGGACATTCTTCGCCGCCCGAGTGGGAAAACTCCGCCGCATGATTGGCTTTCCCTGAACTCTCAGCCCTTCGCCAACCCTCCGCCAACCCTCCGCCAACCCTCCGCCAACCCTCCGCCGCCATTTCAGTCTCAAGTTCTACCCCCTCCGTCTTTCGCAAGCGCCCACCCCTGCCGCTTGCGTTCTCTAAAAGCCGAACCCCAGCCTGGGCCTCGGCACTGCTTCAGGGCTTCTTGGGTTTAAGTTAGAGTACAGGGTTTCTTTAGGGGGGGGTTGAGGGGATATATATATATATATATATATATATAAAGGGATTGGGTCTTAGAGAGGTTTGAAGTTTGAGGGTGGCACCAGCCCAAACACGCTGAGCTGCGGGGCTTGTAGGTTTCGTTTCGGGATTTAGGGCGAGGCGTGGGTGGTTAGGTGTGTAGGAAGGGTTTACGGGGTGTAGGATGCCTTTTAAGGTTAGGGGGCTTAGGGCCTGTGGCCCCAAAACCTGAACCCTGAACCCCGAACCCCGAACCCTGAACCCTGAACCCTGAACCCTGAACCCTGAACCCTGAACCCTGAACCCTGAACCCTGAACCCTAAACCCTAAACGCTGTCCGTTTGTTGGCTTCTGAGGCTCTCCTCTTCTCCGGCTTCTTGCGGGAGGCGCCGGTGTTGGGGGGCGCACTTTCCTTGTGCGGGCTGTATAAGCTTCTGAACCCTAAGCCTGTCAATAATCCTTAAGTCTTAAACTTAAAGTCCTAAACAACCCTGAAACCCGAAAACCTGCACTTTAATTCAAAAACCACAAGCCCTGAGCTACTAGAACAGCCCTCAGCCATCCTAGCGTCCAGAACAGTTTGATTGAGGCCTTTGACTTGTTGCTTTGGGGCTTAAACTCAGTTACCATAAGCTGGCGTGTATAGGTTTGGGGTTTGTTTTGCAGTTCATGGCAACTTCACTTGGGCTTGCAGGGAATGAGGGGGTTAGGCAGCTTACATAATCCCCAGCTGCCTTTTTTGTTGCATCCCTAATCAGGACTAGCAACCCTCAGCCCAAGAACCCGTGAACCCTGGAACCCTGGAACCCTAGTACCCTAGACCCCTGAGCCGTCATTACCGAGAACCCTGGAACCCCTAAGCCCTGAACCCCAAGCCCTAGAACCCTGAACCCTCACCCCAACTTAGCATCTTAACACCCAGAACCCTGGATTCTTGACCCTGGAAGCCTAGACCCAAAACATGAATTCTAGACCCTATAGCGCCCGAAGCCCTGCACCCACGCCAAGCCTTTGATTCCGTGTGTGCGGAGGATCCAAAGAAATTCATATGGCTGAGTCCAAGGCCGGCGCGGTGCGCTGTGTTTTTTGCTTAGGGGCAGATTCTGGACTGGTTCGTGGAATCCCCCCAAAAAGCCCCAAACCCTAAACCCCCCAAAGCCCTCAACCCTGAACCTCAAAGCCTAAGCCCCCAAGAGGAAACGGCCAAAACTCAACCCCAAACCTCAAACCCAGACTGCTTTTTCATGTCTCAGGGGGGGGGTCTCTGGAGGATGGGCTCCAGTTCTCTACAGCCCTACGGAGCTTTGTCAGGGTAGACGGAGAGCTGCTGCCCAGGTAGGTTGGAATGACGCCCTGCTCATTGTGCTGCGCCCCCAGCTAAAGCCCGTGGGCCCTTTTCAGGGTCATGTTTGTTTTTTTTGGGGGTGGGGGGGATCGTGCACCTGAAGCCCTGAAGCCCTAAGACCCTGAAGTCCAGAATCCTCCGCAAGGAGGAAGAGCTGAGGTACCGAAGGCCTATATGTCTACCCTCAACCCGAAAGCCCCTATGGCATGTCGTGTCGGGGTAGTCCGAGGTCCCTCATGTATATGTGCGTGGACATCCAGTACGAGTGGGAGGGCTTCAGCAGCTGCAAGCGGCCCATACACAAGGTGCCTGGGGGGTTCATGGGATGACGGCTCACAGGGATTGAGTAAGTTACCCTAACCTTATAACAAACCCTAAACCCTAAACCTTAAACCCTTCAACCCCTAAACCCTAACCCCTGAACCCTGAAAACCCCTCAGTGCAAAAACGCCCAGAAGTGTGGAGTCAGTGTAGCGGCGCCCTTCTGAAACTTACCAAGCTGTTCTTGGCGTGGGTGTACAGGGGGTTCCTTATGAACATTGGTGAGTGTACGTATGGGGGGTCCTTTTAAAGACATTAGCAAATGCAACCCTCCCTTATGCAGGGTTTAGGGTCATAACCCCTACACCCTTCAAGAGTACTTGAACCTTGTGAACCCTCAGACCTGAATCCCAAGCGCTGCCAAGCCCCAGCATTTCACCTCCCAAACGCAGCCCCCCCACGCCAGTGGCTGCTCCTCAGCTACGGCCTCGTCGTTATGTCCCGGATCGTGCACGTCTCTGGGGCCTTCATGCAGGGGCCCGAGGGTTTCGTGGCTGCTGGGCAGGGCGCTCAGGGAGCAGGGGTGGCTAAGCCCTTAAACCCTAGGCGCTAAACCCCTTAAACCCTAGGCGCAAAACCCTGAAACCGAAACCCCTAAGGCCCTAAACCCCAAACCCCTAACCCCGAAACCCTAAACCCTAGACCCCTAAACCCCTAAACCCCAGACCCTAAACCCTAGACCCTACACCCTGTGCAAACCCTAAAATGCTAAAAGCCTCTCCTGGCCACCGGAGGTCGCAGAACTCTCAGAACGAAAGCGAGTTCATGCCCCGGGCCCAGAAGAAGGACATGGGATTGAGGGTTTGGGGTTTGGGGGTTTGGGGTTTAGGGTTTAGGGTTTAGAAGGTTTCGGGTTGAGGGGCTCAGGTCTTCAGGGTTTAGTAAAGATGCCGGGTATCAATCCTTTTTTGGTTCAACTGGCCTCCTCCAGCTGTCTGCGGAGGATAAGGTTTCAAGGGTCCAGTCGGGGGTCTGAGGGGATCCTGGCGGTTGGGCATTCTGCCCTACTTGGCCCTAAACCCTTGAAAGCCCTCAGCCCGGATTCCGCAGGCCCCACCAGGTTTTCTACATCGACCGTTACCGTCACCAACCTCAAGCCCTCAGATTGTGCAAAATGCCGAGGCTGAACCTGCGGCAGAAGAGCACTGCGGTGCGGGTGCTGCTTTCGCTGATGTGGCTGGCGCGCTCCCCCCAACAGTCGGGTGCTGCATTCTTTGGCGGATCACTGTGGGCTAAGGGTATGGGCGGTAGGGGGCTTTCGGCTTTGAGTTGCGTTTCTGGCCTCTGCACGGATATCGCCGACCAACCAACCGCAGGTGATCCTGCCCGCCTTCACAGTATGGTCCATGGCCCGGTGGCCCAGACCTGCCTGCTGGCTCGGTCAGGTCCGCTTTCAAACGCCCTAGAATGTGAACTGCACACCAACATCGGTCACTTGCATGTGGTAACTTCACAGTACGAGCTGCTGTAACATGGCAAGAAAACAAGGCTGGCCATGGCTGTGATAACAGGAAGTGTAAGCCCCACACCGAAACCTTGGTTAGGTTGCATGCTCTAATAAACCCCAAGCCTTAAACCCTAAGCCCTAAGCCCGAAACCCTAAACCCTAAGCCCTAAACCCCAAGCCCTCAACCCCAAGCGCCATCCAGGTCGGCACCGCGTGGGTCTACGAGGTGATGCGCGCCACGCCCGAGTGCTTGCCTGGCGGCGCTCACTTCTGGCCGCTTGCCTACAAGAGGGCCCTATGTCTTTTTTCCTTGAGGATGGGTAGATCAACCCTGAACCCAAACCCTGTATACTTTTGTAGAATCAGAAGTTTGAAAAGGGGTTCTGGGGTGAAACGGTTGGTAATTCTTTAGGCTTCTGGACGGGACATGACGGGCTTGAGGGCTGCCAGGGGCAGTCTCGTGGCCTCGCCGCGTAACCTTCCGTTTCTCCTTGCTTTTATGGTTTAGGGTTTAGGGTGCAAAGTTTAGGGTTGGGGTTGAAATTTAGGGTTTAGGGTTTGGGGTTTTGGGGTTTAGGGTTTGGGTAAGACCAAGACAAATCGGAGGTTTGGGCTCAGGGCATTCGGCCTCTACGCTAGGGCAGAGGGTTGAGTTGTGAGTTGTAGCAAGCCGGGATATTCAGGGTTGCGCGTGAGGCTGCTTGTCTGTAGCCCTGAAGACCCCACCCCCCCCCTTATGCACTCTAGCTGTAAAGTAGCTCCCATACTCCAATGGGTACGAGATGTTGTTATGAATTGTGCTAACCATGCAACTCTAGGTGCCCCGACAAAAGGAAGTACTAGGGGTTCACGTATTCCCCCAGCCCCCCAAAACAAAGTCCTAATCCTAAACCCTTAATTATCACTGAACCCCAAACCCTAAACCCTAAACCCCTAAACCCTACACTCAGAAACCTTCCCCCAAGGTTCTTGATCGTCTGGCAGGCAGGGATCGGCTCCTTGTGGCTTTAAGCTTCGGATTTGGTCCGCGCGTGGGGATGTAGGGGTTTAGGATATTTGGGTTTGGGGGTTCAGGGTTTAGGGTTTTAGGGGGTTTAGGGTTTCGGAGTGTAGGACTTTGGGTTTGGGGGTTGAGGATTTAGGTTTTAGGGCTACTGAGACCTTTGCGCACGTTAGCGTTCGCCGCCACAGGGACCCCCAAGCGGTCCATTTTGCGTACAGTACCCCTTTTTTCAACAATCTCCCATGCTATCATAGGTATTCCGGGTTGTAGGCTTATGACGAGGTTCGAGGTGTTGGGGTCGCGCTCAGCCCCCAAGCTCCCACCCGCTCCACAATCCCCCTGGTACACGGGCCCCTTATTCCTTTAAACCCTTGGCTCTCTCAATGTCTGGCCCTCAACCTGAACCAAACCTCGAAGCGGCAGGCCCTCAGCTACTTCTGGATCATCGTGCACTGCGGCCTGGGCATCGTTGCATGGTGGCTCCGCAACACCTTAGTTGAGGGTTTCCGGACGTTTCTCTCAGGTTTGCTGTCTCTGAGCACAGCTTGACAACATAGCTTTCTGCATCACTTTCTGACCCTCCCATGGATTCGAAGGTACCTGGAGAGAAGACTCCGTCGTGCCGAAGGTGACCTGCGACAGCTGGAGGCAGGGCTTGGCTTAGTCTTGTTGGGATTATGGGGGCTTCGGGTGTGGGGGGTCGCTTGTGGTGTTTGAGGGGTTGCAAATTCCTTTTGAGCACCCGGGTGCACCTGGCACCCTGTGGATGAGATGGAGGCGCAGTAGAGCCAGCAGAGATGGGCACCCTAAAGGCGCCCCCACAGCTTGAAGCCAGACTCTTCACCCTTCCTAAAGCCCCTAAAGCCCTCAAGCCCCAAAAAGGGCCCCTAAAGCCTGTAAAGGCCCCAAAAGCCCCAAAGGCCCCTAAAAAACCCTAAAGCCCCCGAAAGACCCGAAAGCCCCGAAGAAGCCCCTGAGAGGACCAAGACCTCCTCTCGCGCTGGGGCCAGGCCGAGGGCAACCGGGAATATGTGGCTTGGGGTTTGGGGTTTCGGGTTTAGGGTTTGGGGTTTAGGGTTTAGGGTTTGGGGTTTAGGGTTTAGGGTTTGGGGTTTAGGGTTTAGGCCCATAAGCCAACAAGCCGCAAGCCTTAAACCCAAAGGCCCAAGAACCCCAAGCGAAACGGCGCCCCAAAATTAGCACCCTAAACCCCTGAAACCCCTAGAGCCCCTAACCCTCTACACCGCTGAGACCCCTGAACCCCCCAAGCCCCTAGGCCCCTGAGCCTTAAACCCTAAAACCTTAAAATCCTAAACCCTAAACCCTAAACCCCGAAACTCCTAAACCCTTAACCCCAAAGCCCTAAACCCCCTAAACCCCCTAAACCCCCTAAACCCCCCCTAACCCCCTAACCCCCTAAACCCCCTAACCCCCCTAAACCCCCTAAACCCCCTAAACCCCCTAAACCCCCTAAACCCCCTAAACCCCCTAAACCCCCTAAACCCCCTAAACCCCCTAAACCCCCTAAACCCCCTAAACCCCCTAAACCCCTAAACCCCCTAACCCCCTAAACCCCCTAAAAACCCCCTAAACCCCCTAACCCCCTAAACCCCCTAAACCCCCTAAACCCCCTAAACCCCCTAAACCCCCTAAACCCCCTAAACCCCCTAAACCCCCTAAACCCCCCACCCCTAAACCCCCTAAACCCCCCCCCCCCCTAAACCCCCTAAACCCCTAAACCCCCCCCCCAAACCCCCTAAAAACCCCTAAACCCCCTAAACCCCCCCCCTAAACCCCCTAAACCCCCTAAACCCCCTAAACCCCCTAAACCCCCTAAACCCCCTAAACCCCCTAAACCCCCTAAACCCCCTAAACCCCGAAGCCCGCAACCCAACGCGGCAGGTGAGCCGCTTGCAGAGCTACACCTCCGTCCCGGGCCTCCCGGGGTCGGAGGGGGGGCTGCAGGCTTCGGAGGCACAAGGGCGTGGGGCCTAAGGGCTGAGGAGGGTTCAGGGTTTAGGGTTTAGGGTTTAGGGTTTAGGGTTTAGGGGTATGAAGTGCAGCTTTGGAGGGTTTAGGAGGTTGGGGGGTTTACATGTGCCCTGCTGCTTTCAGTGGGCGCTGCGAGTTCGCCCTCTTGCTGTGTCCCCTTGCTTGCATACCAGAGCGTCAAGCGATTTTTTTTTGCAGAAGCAAAACAAAAGGAAGTATGTGTGTGTGTGTGTACACAAGCCATCTGTCAAAGCCCCCTTCAAGCCCCCCAAACCCTAAATCCTAAGCGGGAAAACCCAGAAAACCCCCCAAAAGCCCCAAGCGCCAAACCCTTGGGGGCGAGCCTCGCAGCCGCAGATTGCGTCCCTCCCTGGCCTGATGGTGGTAGACACCCCAATGGAGGACGTGAGCCGCTTTGAGAGTTTGAGGGAGGAGAGGGCTTGCTTGGGGGGCGAACCACATAATCACACTGAGTTGTTTTGTAGTAGAATCATTGATGCAGGAAAAGAAGCTACAAGAATCACATGCCAGGGCTTAGGGTTTTAGGAGTGTTCTTTTGTTTTTTTTGGGGGGGGAAGCTTCCTTTGAAAGGCTTGGGGTCTGGTTTGCGCTTTCCCTGGCGACGTGGGCATGGGGGTGGGTGCCTCGTCTGCACGAAAGAAGCCCCAACCCCGAAGCCTTAAGCTCCAGCAACTGCACCGCACATGCACAAAGCTTCAGCTCTAAGGTGAACCGAAAAATCCCCAAATTCTATACTTCAAAGATCTCTCTCTCTCTCTCTCGCTCTCGGTCGCTGCAGAGGGTAACTCCACATAGCGGCGCTGTGAGACAGACAGTCTGGTAATGTGACCAAACCGGCTTATCGTGTGAGCAATCGGTGAAGGTTCCACATGACCGGCCCGAAAGGCCCAAGCATCATGTGGGGAGGCCTCATGTCCATATGTATACAAAACTGAACTGCAAAAGAAGCAAAACGAGAATGCTGCATACAAGAAGGTGAACCGTTTGTACACACGAAGTAAGGAAAAATGCAGTGATAGTGAGCCGCACTTGCACATGGGGCATCAGGGGCATAACTTCAAAGATCCCGAACTTAGTAGGTGAATGAGTACACTTTACACTTTTTGGGATACGATAATCTCCTATAGAACTGAAAGTGTACACTTTTTGGGGCTTGTGAACTCAGCAACTAGGCAAAAGGACTAAGCTCTGAACATAACCCAACAGGGCAGAAACCAGCACCTCTGAGGCTGTAAGGGTGAGAAGAAAAATTCCGAACACCCCAACACACCGAGTGAACCCGACAATCCCGAAAACCCAGACCTACAAGTCAGGCCAGCAAGACGGAACCCATAAGGCGAACCGAGCGCCTTGAACATGAGCGACTCCTTACCCTCGTAGGCCATAGCCCTGGTCTCGACTCTCAACCCGAAACACCCTATCTAGCCCCAAGCCAAGCCATAGAAATAGTACAGTAGCACAGTGCCAAAGCCCCAAATATTTTAACATCCAAAACCCAAAACCCAAAACCCAAAGCCCAAAGCCCTGAACCCTAAACCCCAAGCCTCCTTGCCCGTGGATCGACGGACCACACATCAAACCTTAGGGCCTCCCCCCAGGACTGTCCCATCTGCCTGACCGAGTTGCAGCCGGGCGAGAACGCAGGGAGCCCCGGCGGGTCCGACTCGAGAACGACCCCTTTAGAGCCCTTCTTCTTCTTCTTATTGCTATTATTACTGTTATTACTATAAGTACTATTGGTACTATTATTACTATTATTAGTACTAGTATCATTATTATCATGAATAATATTACTATTCTTCTTCTTCTTCTTCTTAACAACAAGATGGCCTTGGCCTCAGGTCCGCCTTCCCGCGACTTGGGGTTTAGGTTTCCGTGCACACAAGATGCGCCCAAGATCCTGAATCCTTGGCGCGAGGCACGCCAGCTGACCGTCTGCGGCCACACCTTCCACCGCTCCTGCATCGCGCCTCATCTGAAAGTGCCTCCGACCCCGGGCATTTGGGTATTTCAGTTTAGGGTTTAGGGTTTCGGGTTAGGGTTTAGGGTTCAGGGGTACGAAGCCTGTTGCGTCCCGAGCCCGAAGTGCCATACAAACAGCCCGCGACATCGGCACTTTTCACAATGCCCGGTAGGGCTCCAAGCCATGAAGCTTGCCAGGAATCTCCAGCTTCGAAAGCAGCCTTCAAGCCCCTGAAACCTCAGGAGTCCCCTAGTACCCCAATCCCTGAACTCTAAACCCAAAAACCCCCGAACCCCATAATTCCTCCTCCACTGCTTGCCCATCAGGACCTCTGGCTGTACCGCAGGGCCGACTGCCCACTCTGCAAGTGTGAGGTCCGCGCGCACGTGAGTGCGTCCCACCAAAGCCACAAAACCCAGCCTCAAAACCGAGAGACCTGCTGGGGTTTAGGGTTTAGGGTTTAGGGTTTAGGGTTGCATTCATGGCCAGCCTCCCACCATAAAAGCCTGAAGTGGCCTGCTTCGGCTTAGGGCTTAGGGTTTAGGGCCTAGGGCTTTGGGAGGTTCTTTGTCTTAGCCCTCCGTACGCAGCATCCCCACACACTCTGTGCCTGAAGCCCAGTGCGCCGCCCGAAACAGCAGCTCCTCTACCTAATCCCCGCCCTAACCTTCGAACCCCGCCCCAAACCCTAAACCCTACGAGCCCTACGAAAAACCCTATGCAAACCCTCCCTCTAAGCCCTCTGAACCCCAAAACGAGCCAAGCCGCCCTGGTCACAGGTGAAGCCCAGCGCGCAGGAGTCAGGCCTGCGCCGAAGGGGCACAGAGGCCCATCAGTCAGGGTTTGGGGGGGGCCATTTTGGAGTTTACGGGTTTTCAGGGTTTTGGGGCCAAAGTCTAGGGCTTAAGGGTTCTGGGGGCCATTTTGGAGTCTAGTGGGTCGTTTTGGGGTTTAGGGCTCAGGGTGTAGGCTGACAGGGTTTAGGGTTTACAACTTTGGGGTTTAGGGTTTTTATGTCATTCCGGGCCCTTGGGTTTTAAGGGTTGCTCTCATACGGGAGTTTGGGACTCCAGGTACTCTACTATTTAATGGCTACCGCCAGTGCCGCCGACCCCCAACAGGGGAAGCACAGCCGGGCGGACGGTGCGGGGTGTAGGGTCCAGGGCTAGGGGGCAGGGTGGAGGGGGGTCTGCAGGGTTCCGTCGGCAGGATGTCACGTGAACACGAGGCCGTCCGGGCTTGCGCTTTGGACGGCTTCGGGTGTCAGGGGTGCTTGTGTATTCCCTGCGCCTGTTCCTCGTGGAATCTTGCTGATGGAAGCCCCCGCAGGGGTCGCGTATCGGCGTATGTCGGGGGGGGGGGGGGGACTCGGCGTATTGGTGTATTTCGAGGGGAAGGCAGGGGGGGGAGGAGAACGGCTTATCGGCGCATGGGCATATTTCCCAGAGGCTTTGGGGGGGGGGGGGGCGAATGGCGTACAATTTTCGGGGGAGGAGGGGGTGGGAAGCGGCGTATCGGCTTAGCGGCGTACTTTCCGGGAGGGGGGGGTTAGCGTATCGGCGTATTGGAGAGGGGGGGGGGGGGAAAACGCGTATCGGTGTACTTGGCTGGGAAGGGGGGGGGGGTTCCGGCACGCAAGATGCAATATGTAACATATGTATATGGGCGTTATCCGCAAACCCCTGTCTTTTTTTTTTACTGGGGAATATTTTAGATAGATTTCTGCTTGTTTTTTAGTATCCGCGAAAGGCCCGCGAATGCACGGCGGAAGGCGCCGCGAAAGGGATAATCTGGTTAATAGAATATCATGCCCCTTAACCCTTAAACCCCAAGCGAGTGCGTTTAGGGAGCGCCCCTAAACGCACCCGTGGTGCAGGTTTCAGCCTATTTGGGGTTCATACTGCTAGAATATCCTGCCCCTTAAGCCTCAGCAGCAAGGGTGAGCTGCCCAAGGAAGCACTTGCCAATGACATGGTCGTGTACTATGCACCGCGCGAGCTCTACGAATTCAACGTGACGATGATGGAGCTAGTGTGTGCAAGCCCGTGCATGACGAGCTTGATTTGCTTCAGTCTGGAAAAGAAG